CCTCTGGAGCTGTCTCCTAAGCAATAACACAGTAGGTTGTGCACTGTTGTCATTGTTACTTGTGTCAATTCACCTCCAATTGTGCTGAACTGCTTATGAAATAACCAGAGAAAAATAAAGTAACTAATTTGTGGATGAGACCCGAATAGGCAATGTGAGTGTGAATTTGTTTCTTTCCTTACTGAACCAAGTTTCAAATCAGTGCATGTTACTTTGAAAGCGTTATCATATAATGACAACAAAACCTATCCTAGATACCTATCCGGGTGAAAGACTGCTCCACAAAATACAAAAAATAACCCAACAACCATACAGAAATCCTGGAGCTGGGACTTCATCGTGCTTTTTTGCATAGTAGTACAACTGAAGGCAGAAACTCTTCTATCTTTAATGCCTGAGTCTATGAAAAAGAAACTTAGAGTAATTGTTTGAAACATTGTCTAAGACAGCTGTCCTCTGCAAGAGAGTTGGAATAAGTCACATGCTTTCACTAGAAATGGTTGAAAGACAGAATATTTGTATCAGCTTCAGCAAGGGTTTTCTATTTCACTTAGGAAAAAAACTTTGAAATTCTTAAAAAAAACAAAAATTAAAAAAACTTTATTTCAACTGCAATTTATCACTATTAAATGGCTAGTTTTAGTGATTTAAAAATAATAATAGCTGTTTTTTGTTATATTTTAGTATGTTAGTGATAATACAAGGTACTTCTGTTTTGTTACTGTGTATTGGGTGCTATTACTGAAAAAGTAACGTGAAACTATTCTAAAATAAGAAAGAAGTCAGTCTTGGCAATTTTAAATGAATGTTTTTATTTGGAAAGAGTTTCATGCAAAATTGTTTGTTTTAAAACTCATTCTGCTTTCCCCATAATATCCCTTATGTAACAATAGAAATAAGTGAGAAGGTGTGAAGTGTTTTATTTAACTGTTTGCAATTATACATGAGAGTTGGCCTCTGTTTTGTGGGTGTAATTTGCAGAGAAGTTACAGTGAAAGCCACTGGAGTTTTATCACTGTCTGTCAAATCAATTCACGTGGGGCTGCCAGAACACAGGTATGAATTTTGAGGGCTACAGGGGCCATAGTCACAGCAGACAGCTGTAGTTGCAGCTGTAATTTTAGCCCCTCTCCAGTTCACATGAGGGTTATAGCTATCTGAACATGAGGGTTATAGCTATTGCTTTGACTGCTATATGGGGTTACTCAAACCTAACAGTGATGAATAGCTATTTCAATGGGTTGTATCTTTAAACATAGAAGTAGCTGCTAAAAGAGCAACTTCTGTTTTCTGACTTGTTTCAGAAGCTGTTGCTGATGTATTGCTGCTCTTTGTCTCTCTCACTCACACATGGAGACATAAGCATTCATACAGCTGGAAGAGGCGTTCTTGGTTGCTGAATCAAGTACCCTGTAATGCCAGTAAGCTTGTGATAATGTGATCCTTTCTTATGTTCTCACCAGGATCTGCTCCTACCAGAATAGTTCTCCTTACTCCTTTGGGGTGAGCCTAAGATAAAAATGTTTGATCTGTCTCCTGCTTTCCCCTAAATCACTGCAGCTGTAAAAGAAAATAAAATTCTTTTACGTGGCCCAGAACAAGCACATTATTCGTGCTTTTGAAATCAGCGGGAGGTGGAGCTATGAGTCAATTTATACCACCCTCTGTCACCTGCCTTGGCTGGTTGGAAAGCTGTGTGCTCAAGGAGCACCTGCCAGCTGAGAGGCTTACAGACTGGACCATTATAGCTTTGCCTTTTCTGAAAACAGAGATACCAATGGGATCGTCAGCCTATTCACCTTTGGTAAGAGAAAATCAGCAGCAAGGTGGGAGGATCTGTGTGGCTATCTTGGTTGAGGTTCACCAAAAGCGAAGGTTTGGGAAATGTTGCTCTTTAAATTACAGACAGAAGGGTCTGTAACACGCAGGTTTGTTAGCATGAGTAGTGCATAGATGGCCTTGGTGAGACAGGGAGGTGCGTCCAGTCTTGTCGTGGGCAAATGATAGGGTCCTTATTTTTGCCGTGTTGAATCCAAATGAAAACTGAAAACCAAGAATTGTTCACTTGTAGGCTTCATCACTGGCCCCTCTCTTGGTTCCGCTTCCCCAGGATCGATTCATGCAAACAAATCTGCATAGGAAGACTGGAGTCAGAAGGAGGAATCGTGGAAGACCACATAACGCCACAGACAAGGTACTACCTAGAGGACAGCACCTGTGCTGCCAGGGGAGGGCTGCCAGGACACGAGCAACAGCTGTGCTGCCTGGAGCCTTCATCAGCCTTTCCCATTTCTCCCCAAGTTCAAGAGTTATGAGAGCTGTTATTTTTAACTATTAGTTAGGGGAGTGTTTGTTTCTTCTGTGAATGTGTCCTCTAGAGTGGAAAACATTCACTATGACTTGGGGATTGGGAGGCTGAGGACGATGATGAACTTGTGCTTAAGATGCCGGGCAAGGAACTGGGAGAGCTAGATTTTAGTCCTGATTTTACAGCAACCTCACTACATGAGCTTAACCATATCTCGTAACACCCAAGGGTTAGCCTCAAAATCATTTTCCCTTTGCTTTATGGAGACAGATCAGTGGATAAAATGTATTACTCAATGTCTCTCACTTAAAATAATTCTGAACCGTAATTTTTATGAAAAGGAACTGTTGAAAGGTTTTGAAAGGTATTAAATATGCTACATGCTGAATATGTAACAGCTTACTTCCTTTTCTGAATGATAATTAGTTTAAATGTCAATAAATGAGATAGCTGTAATAAAATAACATTTTTTACCATGTTTTTTTCTGAGTTTCCTGGATCTTATCCTTAGCTGTATTTATTGATTTTACTTTTCCCCCCTCTTGCCATCCTGCTGTAATGCAGTTGTAGTTCTCAGCATTCAGTGTAGAAGTAGGACACTTCCTGTGTTTGCTACACTTGTGAGAGCAGAGCACTCGCTACTCTTTAACCGTATGGGACAATAGTTGTTTTTGTGTTGGCATATTTTCTTAGTGCCTCATTCATTTCGTGAATAAACTTTCTCCAAACTATTGGATTTGAATGGTACTGCAGCTGGCTGAAAAACTAATCCTCTGTATTTGGAATGAAAAGTCAAGTTTTCAGTAACTCTCTTGAACATCTCTTCCTGCCGTTTCTCTCCATCTCCATTTCAGAAACGTTGCTGCAAAAAAACTCTGCTGAGATTGACGGGTTTCTTCCATACCTGCTACTTTTGTTGAAATGACATTTTCTGAGAGAAAACTACTGGGTTGAGAATTTTGCAGTGGAGTGTAAATAACATTCAGCCTGGTGACTTATTGCTTTTTAGATGGTTAGTCTGGTCTTGTGAAGAGACCAACGCGTCAAAAGGGAGAGGTACACAAGGAAGTCCCAAAGGAGGAATTTCTCAGAAATCAGGATACTTTGAAGCTTTAATTGCCCTTTAAAATTTAGTTAATGGAGCTACTGGTTTCATATGCAGGATTTTACTTGTGGTGTTCTTCAAAATTGTCTTGTTTTCCCCATGAGCAAGTATAGAGTTGTGTGTAGCTGTAACAGGGAGTCAGGTAGGAGAAAGAAAGAGGAGAGGATTGTGCAGCCTCCAAGCCATTCCCTTGTAGCACCCTACACTGTGCTACACGTTGTCAATATGCTGCTATACCTCAGTGCTTCTCCTTGGCAAATCAGTGAGGTCGTGTGATTTGCCACTTGAACATATATCTATAGCAGTGTATGATATAGAAGCCCTGAATAAACCAGGGCATTTTAATTCACCTATTCATGCTTCTGAACTTTTTGTGTATGTTCATAGGTAACTGCAGTTTTTATTCTTGCCTCTTTGTCTTTAATTGCATAATCTAGCACACAGGTGATTTTATAGTATTTCTTTCTCTGCTCGTGTCCTATCAACTTCGTAATCCAGTTTGTATTTGCAACCTGCCATTTTCTTGAATTTTTTTAGAGTTATTGTGACTCATACTTTCTTCAGTTCTTGCTAGTCTTCCTTCAACGTTTAGCTTATATGTTAGTTTTGAATTTTCTGGTAATTTGGTTGCATTTTGATTAATATGGACCTTATCTATGCACAATGGACTCATCTTTACCTAAAACGTTACACTGAAATGAAGGAATACAACCTCTTCTTCATTACATCATCTCAAATTTGACCTGAAACACGAGAGCTACCTTATAGCTAGATGGATCTATATGTAAAATGGAAGAATGGCTTCCCACAGGGCTCAGATTTCAGCCTTTTTCCTGATGTTGTAATTATAGCTCTCAGGGCCTTATCGGACGAGCTCTGGAGTCCCACTTTGGGCAGTTCACTCTTAGATCTTCCCTCCACCTCTGCCCCTCCTTTTTTTTTTTTTTTTTTTTTAAAAGGGTCTTGTATTTCGGTATTGTGGCGGATGTTATGAATGACGTCATGTAGCCGGATTAGCTAGTAGCAGTGATAATATCTTGGCTAGGGCATTATGGAAAGGAAGATACCTTTCCTGTTCTGCAGTGATGTGATGTAGCAGATGTGGGCAGCAGCAGTCACTGCTTGAGGAAGGAGGTACATCTCATGGTCCCCGGATCAGCGTGGTGCAAAGTGCTGGGTTGTAATCTGCTGTGCTCAGTCACACTGAAAGTTAAAGAGCAGACCCTGTAGTCTGAAGATAGCTGGATTTCATTGGGGCAATTATTTAATGATTTTTTTGTGAAAACTCTCTTTATGGTATTTCCTACTACTCCCTGAAAAACTGCATTAAAACTTAACCTTTTATAAACACAGCTGGTTAGCAAACAGAAGTCTGGAACCTCATAATTAAAGATAATTAAAATGGAAACATATTCACTGCATTAGTATGAGAATAGCCTATGATTACTTATTTTTTAAATATTTGTCTTCCTCTTCCCTGTGCTATAGGATGGGTTGTGTTAGTTATGTCCTAGTGCTTTGCTAATGGTTAAGCTTTTTTTCCTTATTGTTCTGCAGGCAGAAGTGCCTCACTTGTGCTGGCTCACTGTAAAAATTATAAGGATGAGAAACGTCCGTAAAGCAGACCTGTGTAAGTATCACTGGTATTCTCGGCACAATTCATTCCCTTCTCACTCCAAAACTGCTAGCATGTTCATTGGTTATTAAAAAGACCACCGTCATTGGAACCCAATGGTGTTAGGTAACTGTTTCTTGGTTTACAGGAGTGTCTCAGGTTTTCAGGCTGCAGAAGCTGTATCTGTTTTTTATCATTTAGACTCAATTATTCTAATTTAGAAAACAGTTTAAGACAGAAATCACCAAATCCCATATAGGGAATTAAGTCATCCTTCCTTTCACTGGCTGCTTCGTATTTCCAAATTCGTAATTCTTCATTGCTTGTTTATCCAGAGACTGTGCATTTGCCTTCTGAAAACAGCATATTGGTGAAAGATATTAGGATAAAATCAGTGGCTGTGTTTAATACTGCTACATTTGTCTCTTTGTTGCTATTTGACTCTGGATGACTGGTCCATTACCGTCACAATTAGACCAAAAAAACCTCCCAAAACTAAATATTTCATTTTTTTGAAAAGTGAAGCTTCAGAGAGTGAAATCACATTAATTTGTTTGGAATTTGGCAAATTATTGAAAATAGAGGTAAAAGATCAAAAGAGTCAGAATGGTTCAGTTTCACACTGCTGAAACTGATTATTTTGACTTTCATTAAAGAGTAGTATTTGGAGGTTAAAATTGACTTTGGTTTAAAATTAACTTAAATTTAAAAGAAAAGTTAAATAATAACAAATCCAGAATGTTTTCCTTCGGGTCTAATGAAATATTTAGTACTACCTGGAGGTTTTTTTCCCCCCCAATTGGGCAAAAGGAGTAATAAAAATGTGCTGTTGTGATACTTACACATCTTTTTGTTAATACAGTGAGTCAAACTGATTGCTATGTGAAGCTATGGCTGCCAACAGCTTCATTTCAGGAAGCCCGGACAAGAACTGTATGCAACTGCAAAAACCCTGTCTGGAATGAAGCTTTCCATTTCACTATACAAAGTGCAGTTAAGGTAAGATCTACCCCTGTGTTAATAAGTTGAATCTTTCTGGGGGGGGAGGGGAGGAGGTCTTCATCTGCTGTGTTTGACGCTCAGTGCTTGGGTTGCTAACTGCACACTAACAAGAGTGTACTAACAGAGTTGTGCTGATGTCGGGATTTTTAGCCACTGACCACCAGACCCTTTGGAAGCACTAACGTAGTGGGGTTCCTCTGACTTTTCCCCATCCTAGCTTGATGGGTAGTTGAAAAGTTTGTTTTTTGCTCAGTAGGCTAAATATTTTGCTACCAGCCAATCCTAACACCTGCCTGAAAGATTTCTATGTATTTCCAATTTACCAGCTGCGGTCACAGTATGGTCACAGAGTATGGGGCATCAGCAGTGGGGAGGGAGGGCCACAGATCTCCAGCATGGTGCTTCCACCTTTCCACCATGTGGATGTTGTTCAGTGCTGTCCTCAGTTAACTGTTGATCCTGGCGTTTGCCGGGCCTCTGACCTCCCAGAACCTCACCCAGCAGAGACTGGCAGGTTATCAATCCTCAGCTACAAGCTACCAAAGTAGCTTGTGGTAGTAGTAGAAAGTGGCTTTCAATCTTGCTATATATTGATTAAAAACCCTACAGCATCCGCTTCTCCCTTTATCTGCAACCCATCCCATCCATTTTCCTTGTCCCCAAACTCCTGACCCTTTGTAGCCATAGAAAACTGGAAAGCACTGAGGAAAGCAGAGTTCTCCTCGGAAGCAGCCTAGGACAGCAGCCGTCTTGAGCTGCGAGCAGTACTGAAATTCTCCAGCCAATACTGGACTCGGGGTGTTTCCCTGGACTCCAAGGCTGCTTGCAGTGATTGTGAACAAACTGTTACCTTTTGGGAGGGTCTGTAAGAAATACTCACCATTTCTTACAAACTACAAATGTACAAAACTTTTTTTTTTTTTTAACTGGCTTTTTTCAGGGTGAAAACTCTGCCTTTCCCACATTTCCCCCACCCCTCTGGAAAAGGCACGCAATTCACTTTGGCAAAAGAAACTTTACTGCGGGCCAGTGAATGAGCCCCAAAGCCGAGCTGTGAAGTTTGAGGGTAACAGCGGTCCTGTCAGAAGAGGGGCGGGTAGAGCTAGCCAACAGCTGTTGCAGCGGAGGGTTATTTACCTCCTGTCAGCTGCCTCATTATCCCTAGAGTGAGGTGAAAACAAAGCCTTTGTTTTCGCCTCTGTCAGGCGAAGCTGATTAAAAGAAAAAAGTGAATTACAGATTTGAGTTCGTTAGCAATCTTGAGTGGGTAAGTCAAATGCTCCTGAGTTTGACCTACTCTATCCTCCTTGGGCTCAGCTAACCTCAGTGGAGTACAAACCGGTCTTCAGAAGTGGGTACATGTGATTTTCTTCTTTTGCACACACTGAGCGAGGAAAGAAGAAATTAGATGCCTTTCCACAACAGACACTTTACGTGGGCCTAAGGCTTGATGAAGAATAGGATGGTTAAGGGAAGATGTAGGTGATATCAAAGAGAGCATGAGCGAAATACAACCTCCTGGTACAAGTGTGGTTAGCCGGAATAGGGGGAGACTTCTGTGTCTTAGAAGGTCCTTGGCTGGTGGTGATGTTACAACTGTGCATAGTGACTGGCTGATTTTCTTTCAAAATGGTAGGTGAGATCCTGACCCCACTGATGTTTGACAATTGACATCAAAGGGGCTGGGATTTTGCCAGTAGCTTAAATCTGAGAGTTTCCTTGGCTATCTGAAAGTCTGTAATGGAGGCAGGCTCTGCTTCCTAGCCACAGAAGGTTGTTTCCTTTCTCAGACTGGTGCTTTCTTGTGTGTAATTGCTATTACTACATGAGCTTTTAGAAGATGATATTCTCCACAAGTTGAACAAATGCCTCCAACACACATGCTATTTTATGTTCAAGCAAGCAAATCTATAAAACAAGGGAAAACAAAAGGAATAAATACCCATTAAAATTTATCTTAACATTTCTTTGGCGTTTTTGGTGGCAAATGACAACAACTATGACAATGCTGTGTAAATCTATGGATTTTTTCAAAAAAAGTGCAAGTCATCCTTTAATTTTAAAAACTAGTCATCTTTTAATTATAAAAAGCTGAGTAAATGCTTTAGACAAAACCAATGTTGTGAAGAAACTGCACAGGCACAGCTTTTTTAATACCAACCGTTTTGTCAGTAAACAGACACATTTTCAGAAACCCGATAGGCTGTAAGAAATGAAACCTTACATCTGCTACTGACCTCTAGTTGGATAACACTCATCCCATGCTTTGAATGAACGTGAGTTTAAAAGGATTGTGGGTCATGTGGAGGAAAGTGGAGTGCTTTATTCTGCCTTAGAACAGTGCTAAGAAACTTTTAAAATGTTTGTAACGTTAGCAGAAATAGGTCAGAGGCAGAGTGCGAGTGATACAAGATCCAGGCTCAATAGCTGGCTTCCTATGGCTTAACAGTACTGTGTGTTCTTGGCATACTATGGGAAATCCAAGCTCAGGGCAAACGCAAGGGAAATCACAGTAGTTTAAGTCTTATTAAAAGAGGCTTAAGCTAATGTGTTCTACCTCCCATTCATCTAAGAGTTTAATCTCTACCATTACTTTCTGGTGATATGCTGAAATTTCTCAAGGTAGCGGCTTTGAATACACAGGCAAAGGTTCTTGGTGAACAGAATGTGTAATCTCCACTTGATAAAGTGCATATTACCCTCATGCCTGTTTCTCATGCATGGATGGCAGCTTTTTTTGCTTTTTTTTTTTTTGAGCTCTTACTATCAAATCTTTTGACGATTTACTCCTCTAGATCAGTACCTGGCTTTGTAGCCTGAACCGCAGGGGAGTGTTTAACCTGAACTAAGGCCTGCTGAAGTCATCTAGGTAACTGCACTGTTGTCTGCCTGCATTGAACAGAGCGTGGGCTGCATATGAACTAATTCCAGGCCTTCCTTTGGGGCTTGCTAGTCCCAGAATATGGCATTTACATCCTTTTCTGCCTCTCTTCTCAGAATATACTGGAGCTGACAGTTTGTGATGAAGATACTTTCACACCGAATGACCAACTTTTGACTGTTTGCTTTGATGTAGCTAAAATCCAGCCTGGAGAAAAAGTTCACCTGAATTTTGAATTGAATCCAGAGGTAAGAAATGAAAAGACAAGCAAAGTTAGGTGGATAAGTAAAATAATACTGCTGGTCAGAATTTTCTCCAAAGGTAGTACCTCTGTTAAACATTGCAGTGCTCATACACTAGGACTACATTAAAATAACCTTTTTAAAGCCACAAAGTTAAATACTCCGAGGTTAGGAGAGGCCAGAAATAGTCATGTGATTAGTTAGGTGCAAAACAGATTTCTTGTTCTGTTTTTTTATGAAATTTCAAAATGTTTCTGTTCCACATGAGAAAAACAAGATGACCGTTAAGAATTTCTTTAAAAATAAAAAAAAAAAAGGGAGGGAGGAAAAAAAAAGAGGAAGTTGGTGGTCAGAGCTCTCATCTCTGTTAGGAGAATGATAAAACAGGGATGTGAGCAGCCTTGCACCCATTTCCAGGCGCTGCCCTCTTCATTAGCTAGTAGCTACGTAGTAGCTATGTCCTCAGCTTCACCACAAATTCCATCCTGTGCTTTGAGGCAATATGCATGGTAAACATTTATATTTTCTCAGGAAAAACCATTTTTTTCCCCTTCTGGTAAAAGATAGTATTTTACTGAGGGGGGGAAAAAAAATCTCAGCAGGTTGGTTTATGATCTTTTGTTACATGATTACATGCTGCTTTTTCAGAGGAGCTGGGGGTCAGTCATTGCACAGAGTGGATAGTGCTTGGTGAATGAGAATCTACTCAGTATGACCTTGGAGTTTTATTTGCAGCACATAATTCAAAGAATGTTGTGTGTTTGGTTATATTAAAGGAGATAAAGAGCTTGTTATGAAATGTTTGGTGGAGGGGGGGTGAAGTTGTTGAAAGGACAGATGGTGGAAATCACAGAAGAGGTCTGCCCTTTAAAAAAGCAAAATATGTACTCAGATTACTTTCTTCAAAATGAACACTACCTCTGCTTAAAGGCTGCATATAGTAATGTGACTTCCGGGCTTTTTCATCGTTTTGCTAAGGCTCTGAATTTACAGTTCTTAGGAACTGCATAGTTCAGTTTCTTTCTAAATCACTATATCAGGCTGTCTGGAAAATGGTCTTTCCTATGCTTTATATTTCCATTGCTTTGGAAAGAGAGTGTCTGCTAATTACTCTTCTAGAAAGCTAATAATTTCCTTTACTGAGGTTTCCAGTATTCCTGCACCAGCTGACTATGACCTTCCTGAGATAAGCATCATGTGACCGAAAGCATTTGAAGTATGAATCAAGCTATGAGGTTGCTCTGAGCTAGGTGTGTGCAAAATTGACTTAGCCCATCCTGGACAACCTTAGGCAATGTCACCACCTCTGCCCATAATGATTTGTTTCATCTGCTAAGGTTTCTCAAAAGGAGGGGTGAGGAGGGGGAATGGGTAATATCAGGTTGCTTCCTACTGTGCCTGTTGCTCACTGCGTGGTTTAACAAGTCTTTCCGTTGCTTTGCTGCAGATCTTTCACCCACAAAAATTTGCATGGTACTTTTTAGAAAAATCATTTGTCTGTGTGTGTGTGTGTGTACTCCAGGATAAGAAGGATGGGCAGGTAAGATAGGCAAAACGTGGCAGATGTTATAAGCCAGAGTCTTCTAAATATTTTCTGCTAGTATTTGGATAAAGCTGGAACAGATCATCAATAAGTTTGGATAGTACAGATTTGTCAGGATCTGATACCAGAGGAAAATTCTACCTTGCATCTGAATAAGGCGAATGCTTCTAAAATCCATCCCTCAAAGTTCTGTGCCGCAAACTGTGGCCGTTGCTCTTTTTCTCATAAAATAGAAGCTTTGGGAAAAACAAACAGTCAGAACAACCAGCTGCTTGTTTATATACCACAGGTCCAGTTCTCAAAGAAGTCAACTAAGATTTCTCACTTATTAAAATGAACTAGTAAATACAAAAATACTCACTTTCAGCGTTACTGCAGTGATGGCTTTTCCTTAGCTACTACATTATCAGATTTGGCCCAGTTTTCATCCTCTTCACAAAGTTAAAATAAGCTGCACAGCCAGACTGAAAGGATGCTTATCTGTAAAGGTTAGTTCCTTCTGGATTTGAATGAAAAAGTTTTCCACATGGAGCTTGTCAGAAAAAGATTTATATCTTCCACTGAATACTGTTTTCCTCCCTGTGGGTGATACAGGAGATGATACATGGTTTTGTGGATGGTATTTCCTGAACTGGCTATGTTCCATGCAAGGACCCAGGAAATGTCTGCAGTAAAGTAATTCAGAGAGTTATTCATTGCCATCTTGGATGTTATTGATGTGTTACTCCTTTCTTCTCCTCCTGTTCTGTGTTCTTGCTCTTTCTCCTTCATCCTGATTTGGCCCTAATGCCCTCTTTCCCCCCTTTGCAATTGCAGTCTTCCCATCCTCTCTTCCCTTCTCCCTGACAATTTTCCTTTCCCGGGTCAATCTCTTCTCCCACCCCTTGTTTCATGTTTACTCCCCATACTCTACAAATTCTTCTTCTGCTTTAACCCACGTATACTCGCCACCTGGGTCCCTTTATTCTCAAGCATGTTCCTCTGTCCACCTGTTTATCCCTCCCTTCCTCTGCACTGATTGACCTATGTCTCACCTCTACAATATATGAACAACAGGACTTTGTCCCCTATTCCATGATACTCATTTTCCTCTGCTCCTCAGGGTGACAGCTTACTGTTTGTTAAATGGTAGAGCAATGGAGAGGCATTACACGAAAAGGCTCTGTTCATTTTAGATTATGCCACAAAGGAAGTGGGAAGAGCAAAATCTTGTGGGTGGGGTGAGAGTTATAAAAAATGATTAGAGTTCCATCAAAGGCAAAAAGCTTATCCATTCATTTTCCTTAAAAATAAATAAATAAATAAATAAAAAATTTTATTTTCAGAATCAGGAAGAGCTGGAAGTGGAATTTCTGCTGGAAAACATGTGAGTAAAGACTAAATGTTCCAGAGTGTGTCATCAGAAAAGTTGACGTTTTAGAGAATGATAACTCAGCATTAGGGAAGTGGCTCCATATACATAACCTTAGATACACTGTCCCTTCCTCTTCCCCTGGTTCCTCTTCCATCCTGAATCTGGTGAATTCCCTTCTTGGGATGAAAGTTGCTATTGCACTTGCTGTAACAGTTCCATTTACTATTACCGTTACTGTTTATAGCTGCAGGTGGATGTTCATTTTGTAACTCAACCTTAGGAGAGATGATGCTGATCAGGGGAGATGAGGAGGAGGAAGGGAACACCTCTGGGAGCTGTGGGACTGTGATGTGGCAGTGAGCACAAGGCTGAGCTGAAAGCTGGAAGTGCTGATGGCACTTGGCATCTAGAAAAACTGAACTCAGAGAAGTTAAATATAGAGCAAATCATTCACATCAAAAAGATAATCAGTCATATACCAGCCCTTAAATAAGCCTTTTCTTTTTTGCTTTGCAGTCGGGATGTATCTGAAAACATCATTACTAATGGCGTATTAGTGGTAATCATTTTATTTCTTTTGCTTATGTTCTAATGGTACAGAAGAACTGAAGGATATAGTCAGAATAAGTGTAGGTATCCCTTAGGCATAGCCTTTACTCCTTTTCAGATGAGGCACAAGTGTGCCTTTGAACTTGGTCATACTTACAGTACGCTTGGTTTGGGAGAGTCTTGGATCAGGGCTCTGCCACAGTGCCAGTGAGCTGCCACTGAAGAAATGGTAGTAAACAAGGAAAACAAGGAAACTCAGAAGTGAGTGAGTCTAGCGCCATAGCAAATTTATTACTAGGGAAAGCAGGAATCTTGGAACTGAATGCTCTTTCCCCCTCATCTCCGAAGGGCTGTATAATGCCCCTGTGCTGCTTTTTCCTCCTTTGTGCATCACTACTCTTGAGAAGTTTCAGCTTCAGCCCAGAGGTCTTAAAACACAGGCCCATCTTTCAGTTGTTCCACAGAGCTCATAAGCATCCTTCAGTTCACTTGATTGAGGATGGAGGTTAAAACATTGTCTAGAAGGGGGAAAAATTCCTTTTGTTAACTGTTGGGCATTTAATTATATTTAAATGTTACAGGTCATCCTCAGCTATCCTAGCTCCATTGACTACAGTAGTTCTTCCAGCTTTATGGAAGCTGAGAATCAGCCTCTCCAATTTACCTCATCTTCACAGGAAGTCATGGCCAACCCTGGTCCTTCCACAGGAGCTCTAGATTCTCTGTGAGCATCCGGAACTTCCTTGTGAGCAGTGACCAATGATTTTATTGCTTCTCTCTTTCAGTCTCGAGATGTTTCCCATTTGGAAGTACAGGTGGATGCAATAAAGATGACGAGCCTTTTCACAAGTGAGGTTAATGGTTTGTCACTATTTGTTTATGCTATGCAAGATGCAGCTAAGTCTAGAACATATGTGATCCATTTTAGTTTCCTCATGTGTGTATCAGGGCTGCTTGGGATGTGAAAGATTTCCTGAATTACTTACTTGCTGCTGGTGAAAATCCTCTGTAGGTGACCTGGCTATGTGGTTTAAGGGAAACTATGCAGATACAGTGAGGAAAACTGAAACTTGACTGTAGTGTGACAGAGTATAACTACCTGTACTAAGAACGGAAAGTGAAAGAAGAGACACAACTACTAGGAGTGAAAGACTGTGGTGGGAACTCAAGGGCATCCACTGGTCTAGCACATGCTCTCTGTCTTGGTCCTTGTTCAGACTGCATCTGTGTTCACAGCGGGAAGCAGAAGTCCTGGTCCAAATTCATGCCGACTGCATTAAGGCTGAAACTTTCCTCAGGCTGTTTTCCATTGTTATTTTTCAGCACTGCATGCCGTTAAGATTTTTGTGTGCCTTTCTTCTCGCTTTTAGGGAGAGATTTTACTTTCGCAGTGAAAGGATCCTATGAAGGAAGGCAAGATGTTTCCTTAGGTCCTTGCTGCAGCAGGAGAGGCAGCAATACAGCCCTGTTCCACTACATCAAGCACAGTCAAGCCAACCTGGAGATTATGCTGCCAAAAGAGAGCTTCTTCTGTGGTGTATGCCTTTAGCTGTTATTGCTGTCCATAAGCCAAGTAACTTGTGGGAAGCATCATGAATTGGCCCTTGTCTGGTCGATTTATACCTATGGGCTGTAAACCATTTTCATCTTATAACAATCTTTTTTTCATTTTAATTCAGCATAGCTCAGATAAAAGGGAAAGGGGCATAAGTCATCCCCTAGCTGTGCCTCTGAATTCTCTGGACTTGCGAGAGAGAGTAACAGTAGCAAGAGTGAGTAACCTTTGACAGCCTTTGAAATTATTTCAATTACACGTAAGCTATATCTATGTGACACCTGATTTCTTATTAAAAGATGTACTAGCTGAGTATGCTTAGTTCTGCTGACACTAGAATATGTAACCAGTATTCAAGGAAAGAGTAGTATATTAAGAATTGCTAATTTCTTTAAGATATATTTTAAAAGCAAAATGTAGGAATTACTGTGTGCAAAAGGCCTGAGAACAGACCAGCTAGACTATAGAGCTGAGTAATTGCTAATACTGTGAAAACTAACTGTAACAAGCTTTCAGCTCCATTTAAAATTTATGATGTTTTCACTCTTGATTTTCAGGGTGAATCTTATGATGTGCATGTGAGGGAAGAAGATGGGTAAATTCTTTTATTTCTTTTGAATGATTCTTTAGGCCATCTCCTATCCTTTCTTAGTATGCTCTATAGATGAAGGGAAGCTGCAACTTAAACTAGTTCATTATTTCAAAATGATGGAGTAAAGATTATAACTGATTTAACAAGACTAAAATATGGAGAAGGGTTAATAGATGATTGATATGTTATTGAATCGGTTGTCAGCTCAGCATAGGACTGGGGTAGGTAATCATGGGATATAACCAGTCACAGTACTTCCCAATGCTGATGCCTAAGAATTGCTGTGGTAAGTAACCTTTGTCTATAATACATACAGATTTGTGTGTAATGCATTTGTAGCATGTTTTTAGCATCATTATTCATGTATCAGTCCTCTGCAGGTCGTTTTCAATGAAACAGTTGGACAGTGAGTAGTTCACCAGTGGGCTCACAAGCAGTGATTTTTCTGAAGGGCACCATTACCCCCTACTGATTAGTTAGCTACATTGCAAGCAGTAACTACAGGTGGAGGTGGTAAATCAGAGTTTTTACTGAGTATTAACTGAGGATCATGGAACAGACAAAGGAACCTCTTGACTGAACACCCCCCTGCCCCAGAACAGTAGACCTGTGAAATAAGGGTTTTGAAATTAATGATGCGCAAGAAGTTCATGATCACGTACACATAGGAAGGCAAACATTTAAGACACATTTTGTGACTTAAGTATTTGCAACACAAGCTCTCAGTAAAGAACTGGATTGTACTGAAGTTTAAGTAATTGCTTAGGCCCACTCTGCTGTTCAGGAAATACGCAGGAAGATATTGTTAAGAGGTGCTCACATTTCAGGGCTCAGTATGACACAGTTTGAGTTTAATTATAATATCTCTTGTTTTTCACTGGCTGAGAATTCACTGAGTTTCCTAATGACTGCATGAAATAGTTTAGGATACACTTCTGATATCTCTTCAGGAAGGTAGAAACACAGGATCTGTGAAAGCCACACACATGTTCTCATTTGCTTAGTGAGATCTTTGCATGTATGGAAGTAGCCTTCCTGGAAACTGGTTTATTGTTGGAGATGAGTTTGCCTGGTGTCTTGAGCCATAGCTCTAGAAATGGCTTACAGGCAACATTTATCTTGTGCTCTGGTCTTATGCTCTAGATATAAGAACTTAGATTTGCGCTTGGGGTTTGGTCTATGTGCAGAGGAGGAGGATTTTATCTGTAAAAGGAAGAAAGTGGTTGCTGCTGCTCTGAAAGAAGTTCTTCAGCTAGATGAAGACCTACAGGAGAACGAGGTGTGTGGGATAGCCTTTGGTACTTGAAATATTCTGTCCTGCTTTGAATGAAGTGGGTGTAATGTACTTGTAGGTGTGCCCATGTATCTCTTCTACGTCTTTTTTACTAAAGTATGCAGACCAGATTCTCACTTGTACCCAGACTATAACCAAGAATTTTTGGCACAGAGCGAGGAAGAGAAGCTCTCATGAGGTCTGTTACGGCTCTTTGGTTTTTCTGCCAATCTCCACCCTCACTTTGTGGGTTAAAAGCAGCTGGCCTGCAGGACATGAGCATAGTGGGAATTTGGTAACCCCTGGGGCTGCTGCAGTGTGAAGGAGGTGAAGCACCACTGACTCACTGTGGCAAAGCAACCACAGTGCACCCTTAATACAAGGGCTGGTCTTGGTGCTTCCTGGGTGCTCTCGTCACAGGAAGGCTTGTGGCGAGGAATCATTGATGCTCAGAAACCTAGGCAGTTAAGTCAACTAAGTCAAGTGCTCATGGACTTGGATACTGAGTAGGATAGGACTTTATTTTTTTCATCTCTGACTAAACAAAAAGATCTGAAACTTATATCAGAATGGAGGAACAAGCTCCAAAGTTAACTGGGTAAATAACCTCCTTGAAAAGAGTCAGGAGTGAGAGGAGGAATGAAAAAGCCTGAGAGTGTGGAGGTCAGAAAGCACAGGGCATAAAATGGGAATTGCTGGGAAGTGAATCTGAGGTAGATCCTCAGAATAAGATAAAAGGGTTATGGAGTTACATGAATTAAAAAAATAAAAAAAACCCCAAAACCCAAAAGCAAGGAGAGATGGTGAAACACAATGAGGCTGAGATTAAAGGTAAAAATATCCCTAAAACTGAAGAAATATGTTGTGCCAGTTTTTAAGGACTGTGCTAACTACGGGGCAAAGAGAGAATGGCCACGTACCTGAGGAAGGTTAAGACTAAATAACGTAAAGCATTAATGTCAGGGAGAGGACAGGCACCCCCACCACCTCGTGCCTCCAGGCAGACCATCTGCCTGGAGATTAGCAAATGCTGCATGTAAATTTTAAAGAAGAATTGAAAAAGATCCAGGCAGCCTTTGATCTATCAGTCTGTCCTCAGTAAGTTCCTGTTGGTAAAGAAAACACTGCAGAATGTGGCTGATCACCTCAAAGACTCGTGAGCAAAGAGCTATGCTTGCAGATCTTGACTTAGCCGAGCATCACTGATCAGAATGGTGCTTTCAGTGTATGTTAAGTATCACTGAAATTAATGCAACTCAAGCACATGCCTAAGTGCTGGCACAAACGGGGTGAAATAAGTCCAAACCCACCTGAATCAGGGTTTAATGCTACTTTTTCTGAGTGCCAATCACTTATTATTCCTCTGTTAGTGAACAGCTTTGCCTTTGTGTGCTGAACAGGTGCCAGTGGTGGCAGTCACGACCGCAGCAGGCGGAGTAAGGTCCATGACGGCTATGTTTGGCAGTCTTTTGGCTCTCCAAGAGTTAGGTGTTTTGGACTGTGTCTCATACATCAGTGGTTTATCTGCCACAACATGGTAAGCAAAGTTGGCCTTGTTTGCTGTTCATGCTAGCAGAGCCAATAAAAGGCACTGCCTGGCTGAGGGATCTTACTCAGCTTGGTGGTGAGACTCCTGGGACAGCTCCCTTTTGCCTGCCACCCATTTCATGGGACCACTCGGTGCCATAGGCTTTGCTCATCTCCTCCTGCCACTAGAGACAAACTGAGTGAAAGCTACTGTAAGTATTACTGTGATTGCACTGAAGCATTTACAGGGAGGGAGAGAAGAGATCGACAAGCCTGGATGGTTTATCAATATTACCCTGCAATTATATATAGTTGGCAAACGCAGCTGTAGTTATTTTGTGGCTTGGTTGCATGCCTTTCTCATGTGCCATATGTTTTACATTCTCTTTAGGGGCTATGTTTGTTTCTGTCATAAAATCAGTGCCTGGCACAGAGAACGGGGGAAAAATGTGTATTTTTTTAATGAAACAGCTGGAGTAACCATCTTCAGACAAAAGTTGCAGCCTGACGCAGGACAATCAAAGGCTAATTTTATACGAACTTGTGCTAAGTTTTGGGTAGCTCCTCATTACTTTTTTTTTGATTCTGAGAAGAAACAAAATGATTTTGAATGTTTTCATGCAGGAAAACATCATAGTATAATCTAAATTCTGCTTGGAGCTTTGAACTGCTCTTCGAAGGTGGAAGTTGGAGGTGGAGAGCCTCATGTAATTGAAGCAAAACTATATTGCATGAAACGTGTCATATAAGCCTATATATTTTCATAAACTCTTGTCCTGAACCACAGTTTGTTTTTTCTTTTTATCAGGACCATGGCAAAGTTATATGAAGATGCAAACTGGTCACAAAAGGATCTCAAAGGGCCAATTGATGATATCCGGAAACATGTGATCAAAAGCAAGCTGCACTGTTTCTCACTGGGTCATCTGAAGTACTATGAAAAGGAGATTTGTGAAAGAAAGCAAGAGGGGCACAAGGTGTCTTTTACAGATCTGTGGGGACTCTTCATTGACTCTATGTTACATAATGAGGTATTATATATATACATCCCTTATTTCAGAGAAATTCTAATTTTTCATGTCTACAGTTCTAGATTGAATTATAACTCAAGAGAAAAGGCCCATTTGATACTAAGACAGAATTTTGAACTAAAGTAAACACTTTAGTTCCTTTAGTAACACTTTAGTTTTAGGTTGACTGGAGATGTGCATACGCACACGCATGCATACGCACACGCATTAAAAAATAACATGCAGCATACTTTCTGTTAAGGATGTTTCAAATTTCTTAGGTGTCTTTCTTAGGGACTTTGTAGAAAAAATTAACGTGGTAAGACTAAATGGAAGCATCTCAGGGCAATGTCTGAGCATGAGAAAAGTCAGGGCATTAATGAAACGGATTTTTATTCTTTAATTTCAGATCAAATGACCATTCTAGCAACATATAGAGGAGAGATGGCTCTGATATAGCTAAGTTCAGGCATAGCGATATATAGCCATACTAGCAAACAATAAAACAATATTTAAATGAGCCTTGGTTGACTTTGACCTGCAGCATCTCCAAGGTAGCCAAGTAGCTTTCCCTTTCCTTGAATTACCTAAGGCACGTGGCAGTGACTGCAGAAATGAGTTCCCTGCATTCCCCCTCTGTCCCTCACTCCAGAACAAAACCCTGGAAGCGTCAGTGACCTTTGGCAAGGTTTTGGAGTGTCTCAGATAGGTGAACATGTACATATTTGTGTGGTCAAACAATTGAAGTGTATGGAACAAAATCTGCCGACATATAGGAGACATTTCGTTATAACAGTCTGTGCTTAGATGCTTTATGAGGTCTGTGCATCATTTTCATGTTTTTCAACCATTTTTTTAACAGGAAAACACCCATAAACTCTCTGATCAGCAACTCGCACTGAATCAGGGGCAGAATCCACTGCCCGTATATCTGTCCCTCAATGTCAAGGATGACTTTAGCACTCTGGATTTTAAAGGTAATGATTTTTATGCATGTTTTTATGTATCTAAGATGTTTCTTTTTAGGGCTAGGTGACTGCCAAAGGCTTCTTTTAAGTATCTAAGCTTCTAAAATATCATAAGCCTCTTTTAAAAGCTTTCTTTTAAATAGTTTCTTTCTTTTTTCTCTATTTTCACATCTGGGCTCCGACTTGGAGGAAAAATAAGCGTCCAAATATGAGAGACATTCCTGTGCAAAGACGCTGTCCTGCGAGGGGCAGAGAGGCCTGTTGCTTGCAGCCTTGAGAACCACTGCTGTTGCTCTTTCTTCCTCCCCTCCTCGTGCTCCTCGCGACCTCTTTCAGCTGCTCAGGTTGCTGCCAAGGCAGCAGTAGTCTAAGAAAGCCATGAAGAGCAGGGCAAAGGGACGCAAGGAGTAGGGGGAAAGGGAAGAAGGCCGGGGAGGGGGGAATGATAGTAAGCGGCTCCAAGTATGCAGAGATAGATCTAAGGAGCAGCAGCAGTGTTACATGCTGAGCAGCAGTGCCGATCGCTGACCATTTCCTCGGCATTATCTGGCCAAAATACAGAACCTGGTCGTCTGCTTCCAGACACAACCTGCGGTTCAGGGTGTTCAGCCAAGATTTGGGAAGGTGTTGCTCAGTACATCTGAGTCTTTTGAGCTTCGCAAGGCAACGATTATCAGAATCTCAGACTGAACAGTAGCTGGTGTCGTTGCTGAGTCTGGGGACTTAACACAGCTTGAGTAGTACCTTAACTATCAGTGGACTTTCAGCCTCAGTTTTCCCTTCCTCGTACCAAGCTGGACCTGAGCCACAACCTTAATGGATTTTCTTGGTGCTAGTGCAGGAGGTGTATTTAGCTTTTGTGTTCACCAGTCTGACACACGATATATTGAAGGGCACTTGTTTGTTCAAAATGTGATGGTCTGTCACCAGCATGCTGAGGCTACAATTCTTATTCTTCAAGCTTTTGATTTTCTGATAACCTTGTCCTTTTACTCGTGTTCAGGTAGCTGCAATAAATCCTTCTTCTTGATGCCTTATTTGTAGAGTGGGTGGAGTTCACACCGTATGAGGTGGGTTTTCTGAAATATGGAGCCTTTGTTCGTTCAGAGGATTTTGGTAGTGAGTTCTTCGTGGGTCGCCTGATGAAGAAGATCCCAGAATCCCAGATCTGCTTCTTGGAAGGTGATTTATTATCCCAGAAAATGTCAACTTTATAAATAGGTAGTTGGCTACCCACAGTCATCTTCTAATAACTGCTTGTCTGCAAGGAGAAACACTAGTACTGGATAACATATCTAAGGCAATTTAAGTCTCAAATGAACCATCCTAAAGAGGCAAAATGAACTGTAGAGGAGGCAAATTCCGAAGGCAGATGCAATTAATTTGCTGGGCTTTTTAAATTAGACTAAAACAGAATATGCTTGTTAGAACTACCTTTTGAAGTATTTAAAATCAGCAGCTGAGTGTTATAAACACCCCTGGTTTTTAAAATGGCCTGATCATAATCCAGGCATTATGTGGCATGGTATGGCATTTGGTATTCATATTCCAATCCATAAAATATCGTAACTGGGTATTTAGGATAAAATTGGATGAATATGAAGTTATGAGTAAAAACAATGCTAATTTAGACAATTGCAGAGGCTGAGTAAGACTGACTAAGTATGTCTCCAGAGCTGTGCTCTAAAAATGCACAGTAGTTCTAAGCAGAGTGTTGTTGTTGTTGGTTTTTAAACTTTCCAGGCACATGGAGTAATATATTTTCCCAGAGTTTTATGGATGCTGTCTACCTCTCGGGTCATTCAGAGGACTTCTGGCACAGATGGACCCGGGGCACGGAGTCTGACATAGGTTGGTTATTTGGATTACCTTTTCACTTGCATCTGCATTACCTTCACACCTCTCTGAAATGTGAAGCCTGCCATTTTGGAGGCATTTGGTTTTGTGCCTGATTCTGGGTTTGGGGATGCCAAGCCTTTGAGAGTGAGGGAAAAAAACAGTTGCACTGGAAAGCAGGCAAAAAACTGCATTGTGCTGCTCACCATACAAAATCCCTGGGCAGTTTTGTCTGTGGCAAGAGGGTTACTGGGAGCCCTATACGGAGGAAGAGGCCAGGTGGGGAGCGACAGGATGATGCTGTGAGACCAACGCCCCTGCCAAATGCAGTCTGCATGACAACGTGAGCACCTGCTTGCAGGCAGGGCAGTGTGGTTCGGCTGCCCGACCTCCACTCCAGCTGACACAGCAGTTACGTACTGCTTGTGGGTGCCATCTCCAGAGCAGATAGGGGCTTCCCGGGCATGAGCTTGCCTTTCGCTGTGTGCTTGTTAAGCTGTGGCTGTCTGCTGGGCGCAGAGTGGAACTTCTCAGTTTTTCATTGGAGTCATACGCTGCTGGGATACACCTGCTCTGTCTGTTGGCTGTTGATGATTTTGAGCCTGTTCTCTTTTTGGGATTTACTGAGCTGAGCTAGTTAACTAGTACTTGTTTTGATTAGCAATTGTTAAAGTATTCAGAGATACCCTTTGATGTGAGACAATCAGAAATTCAAATTCACTCTTTGTTATTCTTAGTATCAGAGAGATGCTCTAAACAGCTGCGAATAAAAACTCTCTTCTCATCCTCTCCACAGAGGAGCAACCTGCTCTGCCCAAAAGGTCTCATGAGCAGACGACTTACTTATCTGTTCCCAAAGGCTGTCTTTCCAATACTCTTCGAGAGTTGATGACAGGGAGGCCAGTGGTTTCAAATTATCATAATTTCCTCAAGGGCTTGCAACTGCATGATGAATACTTGGAACATGATAGCTTCTGCATGTGGAAAGGTAAGGAGACCTGTTTTCAGATGCGTCTTTGAAGGTGATTTGAGGGCTGATACAAGGTGAGGCCAAATATCAGCTAAGATTTAGTATTAAGGCGAATTTTGACTGATGATGTTATAACCAGTTAAGTAATTGCTCATGCTGGGAAGCTGTCTGTGGAGTTGTTGAGTCCCAGATGATTTATTTCAGGTCTTGTTTTTGTCTTGAAGAAGCCATTGCAGGCTTACTTCAACTCTGTTCTTCACAGGAAAACCCACAAAAAAGCCCACAGCTTCCACTGAAGCTGAAATATCTAGCCGCACTCAGATTTACACCAGCTGAAAAAGCAACTTAAATTATCACTTTGGATGAAGATAAGCCTCAAAACTGCTCCCTAGTACTGATCTTAGGGCTGAGCCATGGAGGCATAAAAAGACTAATACAGAAAAAGCAAACTGCCTTTACTTGCTTACTTTGTTATGGTCATTTGAAAAGAAATGGACTTGCGCCTGCAGCGATTAATTAATGACGTAAATTCTTTGACTTTCAGACACAGTACTCGATTCTGCTCCCAACCAACTGAATCAAATGGATGACTACCTCAAGTTGGTAGATACAGCTTTCTTCATCAATACCAGCTGCCCACCCATTTTGAGGCCGGAGAGGAAAGTGAATGTCATTCTGCATTTGAATTACAGCGGGGGATCACAGACCCTGGTGATGTTTTGAAGCAGTGATTCTTTTATCTCTAGGACTCCAGCAGCTGAATTATCACATTTCACTTTTTTCAGAAAATGGTCTGTTCTTGTTAAATTAAGGGATCGCTTTAGTGATACTATGCAACACTATAAGCAAAATCTTGCTTTCATTATCAGAGCTATTTTCTATAGCTTTCTGGGACACACTCAGGGCCACACACACGCACGCAAGTTTACCTCTTCTGCATATCTGTGCAGCTTTGTCACTGTGGTATCCAAGTTCCTTAACATTTCATTAAATAAGTTTTAAAAATGTAATTAGTTTGTACATAATTTTGCTATTTTTTGAATGAAAACTTGGAATTGCCTTTCTTTTACGTTTGACTCTAGATATTTATGTAAGCCTCAGTCAGGTTTAGTGTTTTGTCATGTTTGAAGAAACATTGATTGAAATTAGTGTAATTTGTTTGCAACAGGGCATCAATACATTGATCTCTGAATACAAATACTCAAGAACCTGTGATCTGTGAGAAACTATATTTAATCAAAATTTCATGATCCAAATCTGTTGTGCTCACTAATCTACCAAAATGTGCTGAATTTTGTATAGGTTTTAGAAGACAGTAACTTTGACTTAAAAATATACAGTGTTCGAAAATAAGCCATCGGTCCTGCACTCAGGAAGTTTTAAAATCAAGGAGGCAGGCTTATTCCGGTGGATAATTACCCACATTTGCAGGAGATGTAAAATAATCACATATTTGCCCAATGCAATAAAATATCAGTAATAGGCTTTGGTAGCTTTCTTTCAACCTGTCTTTGCATTGCAACTCTGTTCTTCAATGATCCAGCCGCTGGACCTATTCTCAGAGTACTGCTCAGAGCAAGGAATCCCGTTCCCCCGGACAGAGCTGAGCGAGGACGACCGGGAGCACCTGAAGGAGTGCTACGTGTTTGAGGACAACTCAGAGGCCCCTATCTTGCTCTATTTCCCACTGGTGTGTGACACCTTCCAAAAATACAAGGCACCTAGTAAGTTAAGAGCATTAATCAATCATTTTTTTGAGGTTGTCCCATCCAGTTTATCCACTAAATTCATCTCTTTAAAATGAGATATCGTTAAGCTTCTCAATTGGCTAAGTTACCGTATTCAAAGTCCTGTTGTGATGGAAGTCATTTTGGCCAGCTAATCTGGGATTGAACTGTAGAACTTCGAAATTAAAAGTGTGAATAACTGTAGCTAGAGATAAAATGCATCTGGAGTCTGGGACAGTTTCCTTTCCTTCGATAATCAAGGATAGGAGGCAGGAGATAAGTTGCATTCACTGCTAGCTTACACTAGCACTCAGCAATCTTTTATAATCAGGTATTGCATGTATGTTGTTAACAAAGCTAGTCTTTTCTTGTTTCTTTGTTTAAATGAAATTGAAAAATCTTGAAATAGAAAGTGCAGGCAATATATAGGAAGACTAAGGATTTGTACAAGCTGCTTTGTTTTCTGTGACTTTTTTTTTCAAAAGTTGCCAGGTTATTTTTTCAGTTCAGCAGTAGAATAAGTTGTGACAATTTTTTCCTCCAGGAAAAATTACTTGGTAAATTCAGTTTCAAGTTACAGATACTCTTGCATGACTGCTTTCCCGTTTTCTTGTTCCCAATTTAGTATGAACCAGGAAAACTTACTGAAAAACTGAACAAAACCCCATGCACTGCCTTATTGAAAAGACCTCGTGTAGTTCCACCATCCTTTTCTTTTGTCCTGTGGCATCTGTTTAAAGTCCTGGAAATCTCAGGCACCTGAGAGGGAGAATTCCCCTTCCAGGAGCTTTCTGATGTCATTCTTCACCAGTTGGTAGATATGAACAGTCATCTCAAGTTACCTAATGGAACAGTTAAAAGTCCTGAATCTGAAAAAGTGGAATATTCTCGTGGAAAACTTTGTTTGAATGGAAAGCATTTTCCGTGACAAAATTGTTCTGCCAGTCAATCTGTATCAGCTGCAATTGTGGCTAATTGGTAAACTACTGGATTTTAGTAGTGTAGCAGATTTAGTGTCTATATCATAACTAAGCCATCCTTAGCTATTTTCCTGAGGGAACTAAGCTTCTTGGGGCTGTTACTGTCTATTCTGCATTGCTTGCTATAGGTCTCTCAACATCAGTAATGTTGTTATGATGAACTTTGCTATGTTTTTACTTCAGATGTGGAGCGCAGTCCCTCAGAAATGGAGCAGGGGAGAGTAGATGTGTCCAGTTGTGCTGCTCCATATGGCACTGGTCTGCTTACGTATACTGAAGAGAATTTCAACAAGCTGCTGAACTTGTGCAACTACAACATCCTGAATAATAAACATCTAATTCTTCAGGCTTTGCGAACTGCAGTGGAACGGAAGCAATTTAAAAGCTGTTCGTTACTGCAGTCATCTAGACTCTGTTAAAGTATATTTTGACCAACATCACCCAAAGGAGATACACAGATGTTTTGGTAACTAACACTTAAATGACCAGGGAACATGAATCCATACAAAATGAACATCCATGTCAGCTTATTCGATAGAGAAAATCATGTCTTTTGTTAAGTACTGAGTGGTGTGGTTAATGATGATTCTGGTATTAAAGTCATTAGCAAATTGTGATTTTTTCTTTTTTTTTTTTAAGATTCACTCCACTGCAATAGTGGATGGGAAGGAAGTTTTGGAGTTACAGGGTCCTGTTTGATATATAGTGATATAGTGATGAGGTTTAAACCTGACAAAACTCCATGCCAAGTTTGGGTGCAACCTTTAGTGGCATGTGGTCTTTGTTCTAGAGACCAAAGCAAAGATCAAGTAAAGTCCTCCCTTGTGTCTCTGCTAGTGATAGCAGAAGGTGCCTAAAGATACCAAAAGATTCTTGCACCTGGAAAAGGAGGATTGATAATCAAAGAATGGAACTAGAGATGATAACCTTGGCTTTGTCAGTGTCCTTCCTTTAGGCAGAAGTCTCATCTTCGTCGAATTTACCTGTTTGACCGCCATTGAACTGAGTCTAAATTTTTGATGAACTACCCCAGGGTTATCAGCATCCAATAAGTACAATATCTGAAAGTGCTCCACTTTTCCTGAACGCTCTAGGCTATTGCCTACTGAGTAGATTTTAAAACCAAGGAATCTGCTAAGATTTTGAATCCTGCGCTTACTGGTTTTGGAGAAATGGTCTAACAGCCTAGGCTTTGACCATAACCTTATTTTCATTTATTAATCTGCTGTTAGCTCTCAGATGTTCTTGGCAATAAAACTTATGAAACTAACTCTGTTCAGTTCTGCAACATCAAGATAGTCGCTCTGTAGCTGCTACTACAGCTTTATTTCTACTGCCATCTAAACCAGAGGCAGGTGTGCTGATGAGATTGTTTCATATTTCTTAGAGATAAACGTCTATTTAAGAAGATGCATTCACATGGTCATTATAAGTTCTTTTATCATGTATACATTGATACATGTACAGTGTAATAGCTACCATGCAAAATCTTATTAAAAATAGCAGCCACACGTGCTTGTGTGACTTGCAACGTGTTACTTCCGTTAAGTTCCACAGACTCAGCTCAACTAGTGAGTTTATCTGGGAAGAGGTACCTCTTGCTTCTGAAGCCAAAGAGCAAGATATTGAGGGGACAAAGGCAACAATGAACTTTGCTGACGACCTTTGAGAAAGGATGAAAGAAAGGCTGCCACTTCAAGAGACCAGTGGAAGATGAATAGTGGAAAAAAATTTTGTTCTTTATAAAATAGAGTGCAGATGACTGGGATAATAATGAGACATTTGCGAGTCTAAATGCCACTCTTCCAAATGCCATGGTATTTTTGCAGTAATACAGATAGCAACCATTTGAAATTGCTTTGCTAGTGTGACTAGAGTGCACTATATGCTTTATCCATCTGTATTATTATCAATCCTTTCTGTTCCCCTTTGCTGCCATCTCATTCATTACACTGATGTAGGCATACAAAATGCACGCATCTGTGTGGCAGCGTGCCATCCTTGTCCTGGGAAAGCAGAATCTTGCCTCTGCTCCCCTCGTGTGCCGTTGTCAGAAGGTAATGGTCTCTCTCATCCAGTCTCGGAGACTCCTGTGTATTTAGCAGGAGATAACCATCGTGCTTTGTCACCTCTACGGCAGTTCTATGCATCTGTTCAAAATAACAAATCCAAACCGAAGGGCTGAGAAAATGCTAGCAGATAGCTCCTGTCAAGCTTTGCTACAATGTGAATCAAACAAAACAAAACAAACAAACAAACAAAAACCCCCTTTGGAGGAAATCATTGCTGGCAGTAACCTTTGCCACTCTTCTTCACAGCATCAGGATGGTCCGGTCCCACAACGCTTTTCTTTTTTTCACTTGCTGCTGAACATCTTTCTTTTTCAATGCTACCCTCCGAACTAGAAGGCCAGTTTGTTTCAGTCCCTTTTCTTGACCTTGGCTAGGATAATTTGATGTTCTGTTTTGCCAGTAAGATGGTAGTAATCTTCTGTGAGCAGAGAAGAAAAGGAAGATGTCATTTTAGCAGTTCAGTTGTGTTCATTATTGTTTAAAAATTTAGCTCATAAAATGGGTTTTTTAAAGTGTTTGTTTAAATTTTTTATTAAGTATCTTTTAAATTATTTTGTTTTTCAATTGTGTGTGTTGGTTGGTTTGTTTGTTTTTTTAAAAAACAAAACAATTCCAGGAAGATATAAGAGAAGCAGTGCTGTCTGTGCCTGGTGTTTTCCACCAACTGGTTGCTGGTGGTTGCAATGCTTGGCACTGGGCCTTGAGCTTTACTCACGCGAGGTGTGGCAATGTACTACTTCAGCAGTAGCTTCAGAAAACTGGGCTGGCTTACAATGCGCTGCAAAAAGCAGGGAGTCCATTTAAAAAAATTTAGGCCTCTTAAGTTAGCAACTTGAAAATCTTCTTTACCCAGATTGTCTAGGTTAGCAACTTGATATTTTGACTTGAAGGAAAGTCAGACAAATGCTAGTGTTGGGACCCGGCTCCAAAGACCTGGTGGGGCACATGAGGCTAATGCTTTCCTGGGCTTGATAAGTTCAGCCTTCTTGGTGGCTGTGAGTGTTCTCCACAACGGACTCTCATTTGATTTCTTCTCTGGGGAAGAAAAGGCCTCTTCTCTTGTCCTGTTAAATGCAATGTAACAGTACCGGTGAAGAGATGTTTGTTCAAACAGCTTACCAGCTGCTAAGCAAAAAATAACAAAGGAGGGAAGAAGTTCCCTATTAGCGATGCTATTTTGTATGGGAGGAATTGCAGCCTGGTGAGCTGTGGGCTGGATTTTCAAAATGATTTAGCAATGGCATAACTGCACTATTAAAGACCAAGGTAGGTCAGCAACAATTTCTTTTTTGACAACACTGGTTTGTGACCTGTCACACAAGCTCTGCCAAATGTGAGGGTGCTGGAAACAATTAGGTGTGACTATAGTCTCTGGTGGGACTCTCTGAAGTCTCTCAGGCTGGCTTTGAATGAAGTTTTAGCCCCTTAATCATCTGGTGATCTGAGGTGACTTCCATGTATTCCGAGAACTGATTCAATTCAAATTGTTATCATAGCTGTTGTTTTCTCTATAAAGATCCTAGACTATGCATCTTGCCATGTTTATGCTAAAGGAATTACTGCAACGACTCCTGGTTAATTAGCACAGAATGCTACCAGACGTTCCTGTCTCTGGAGCAGAGGGAAGAGTCGGAAATAATGGTCATGAGCTTCTGCTTTTTGAGAGGAGGAATGGATTTGAAATTCTTCTTGCAAAAAAACTGAAGCCAGGATTGCATATATTGAGAGATGTTGGGCCAATATTTCACTAATGACTTTTGAATGGGGAAAAACACCCAGTTCTTTCCTGTGAGTGAGGAGTAGTGAGATCTTTCTCTCTTTATCTCTTCAAAACAATCAAGGGCATGTGAAATCATTTTTAATCGAGTTTCTCAATAGTCCTTTGAAGGCAAAAGTCATCCTTCATACATGTCATAATCAGGATTATGCCTTAGTAAAAAAATATAACACCCTGCCCCGATCCTGCATCTGTCCTTACCTGTATTCTACCTCTCCAGTGACTGTGCAATCTTGTACCTTTCATTCTTCAGAATTTAGAATCAGATTCAAATGGAAGGTCTCTCCCACTTAGAAACGGATGATAAAAACCTCCAGATTTTTTTCTCCAACCTGTGTCTCCCACTCCCTTAAATCATTCGGAACATTTTGTGATTTTGTTTATTTGAACAAATTATTTTGATTAAAGAAGAAAGAAAACTCCACACAATACTAAAAAAACTAAACATTTTGACTTAAAAAAAGAAAAAATTTTGAATTGTTAATGTATAATACTTTAAAGTGACTTAAATTTAAAAAAGTTTTACATTAAAAAGAAATCTAAACTAGTTTCAGCTGAACAAAATTTTTTTTACCTGAAAATATTTTTTGTGGTTTTTACTGTTTTTTTTTAAATTGATTTGTTTGTCTGAAAGATAATATCCTTTGCAAAGTTATCTGTTCAGCCAGCATCTCCCCAAAATCATGTTTTCACGTATTTGGGGCAGGTCTCCTCTCGCTTCCATTCAGATACACCTATGATTGTAGGCCTTTTCCACTCGCTTTTTAGACCGTGACACTGAAAATCCTAGTGATCTTGGCAGCTGATTTCTTTTGGCCAAAAGAAGGCCTCCGTATCTCTCCTTAAGTCTGGACGTGTCTGCAAAATTATGTACAACTTACAGTACAGACTTTGTTTCCTACCTGTCAGAACAAGAAATAGTGAATGGATGGAGAGTTTTCAGTAGAGTCCTGATGCACGCTTCTCTAAGAACGGTTTCTTGTGATGTTCTTCTTTGCATCTTGTTTGATTAGCGATGCCAGACTTCAAGGATGTTGTAGAATATTGAAGAACAAGTATATTGAAGGTGTTGTATACATCAACATTGATATTGTATGTGTCAACGTAGGTATTGTATATATCAGTGTGAAATTAAAATGCCAGACATACTGATGTGAAAGTTACCTTTTTAATTGGGGTGTTGCCTGAAATTAGTGTCAGGCTAAAGAATCACTAGTCAAAGTTGAATCTTTCAGGGAATGAAGTATGTTGTAGTGGGGTTGGAGGTAGCACTTTTGAGCCACGATAAACATTACTTTGTGCAAAGTTTATCAAGCTTGGTTCCACTGTGTAACTGGAATTTGACTATTTGCTTTCTTGTTTAATTGGTTGAATGAGGTCCATGGAGATTTTGTAGCCTGCAGAGTTGTTTTTCCTGCCATACTTTCAACAGAATTTGTAAAGGATCTATGGCTTTAAAAAAAAAAAAAAAAAGACTGAAAGAGACCTCAGGACATAGTCTGACTATTCTTCCATTTCCACCACTACAGTTGTGAATAAAAGCAGATCTCTAAATATAGATCTGACACTATCTTTGTCCATTTGCTTTATATGTTAATTCTGTTGGGTGTTTATTTTCTAATGTGAAACCTGTCTATCATTTTGTAACACCTCTAGCATGTTTTTGGATAGTTAACTACCTTTCTATTTATGTTCAAGGTGTTTTAATAATGACCAGCTCCTATTGTCATCACAAAGGTGGTACAAGTGTGCTTTCCTCTTGCAACAATATGAAATCCCCCATTAGTCACACATTTATGAAATCCCGGATTATCAGAAGGTGACAAAATATTTAAGTGGTATATGGAGTAATTGTAGGATTCTGGATGCACGTGTCATTGCTACCTGCAGCCGATTGTGCTTAGATATATAATCGTCTCAATAACACATTGGGGAGCTAGTGCTTGCAAAAGGGTAATCTAGATGAATTTTGACTGCTCCAGATCAGCAAGATATTTATATTTGTTCCACTTTGCTTTAATTAAGACACAGATACAAAACCACGTTCATGTAGACAGGCACTATAAAGTAGGTGGAGAGCAGAGGAAAATTATATTTTCCTTTTACTCTCCTCATTGCTCAGACTTTTAGAGACTGTTAGGTGTTCCCTCATCAATGTATATTCTCTCTTGCATTCAAAGAGAAAAATAAGAGTGCAAGTAGCGTGTATGTGAAGAACAGTGCTGATTTTAAATTATCTTCACTGGAAATGTGATTGCTAAACAAATTGAATGGTCTCAAAGTATGGCTTTTTAGACTTTAGGTGGCATTTGCTTACCGCATGCTTGACAGTTGTCTTTCAAAGTCTTATTGAATTGTGGAAGTTCTTTTTGAGAAAAGCAGAAAAAGTGCCACGACACTTAACCTCTGAAGCAGTATTCTTGTTGAAATATAATCCTAAAGATGATATTTCTAACTCTGAAACACCAGTGGGACAATCTATTCTAGATTTTCACAAATCTTTTAAGACAATATCTTTTGAAGTTTTCTCATGTGGCTTAGATAAGCCGTGGTTAAGGGAATAAGACATCAGCTACAAACACACGGTGATCATGAGTGAGAGAAAAGTTATTAATTAGGGACATACTTTGGTATGGAAATAATGTTACGGTTTTTAGAAAAGGAAAACATAAGCTGAGCATCAGGAAAATATCCTGCAAGCAGGATGCACTGATGCTGAAAAAAATGTTCTAAATGGTGGAGTGGTATCCCATTTATGGATCTGAAAAGTGATGTAGAGATACTGTAAGAGAATGTAAGGTCGAGGACAGTCTTGCATTGGCTATCGAATAATTTGTGTGGTATAAATGGCCTGCTCTGTTTCATAGCTAAGACATGGACAAAGTAATGGGTGTGTTTGCATGAGGAAAGGATAGGGTTCCACTGAGGGCTTTCTCCAGGATAATGTCTGCTGGAACAGGAAAAGATGAGCTGAATAACATAGTTCTTTTCATTTGGTATAGAATGTTTTACAAACGTTTTTAACAAAAGCAGATTCCCACTTAAAACTTTAATACTGGGATTTTTCCAGGGAAGTATTCGTCTTTCAAAAGCTGGAAAGACCAGTTTTACAAGAAGTGCAAGTAAATGATTCTCAGCTCTGACTGCTCCACCGGAATTGGTTCATAAACATTTAACATTTAACAGAGATAGAAATTAACAAAGACAGGAAATGAAGGGAGATGTTTTTGTCTTTAGGGCAGAAATACTCATATCCATTGGAAATATCTTTTGGTCTTTCTTTCAAGGAATCTTTCAAACGCTGCAAGTTCAGATTTACGTCTGAGCCATTTTGCTTCGATTTCATCTTGGATCCATTTTTATGGAAGTATCAGATAGTACTGCCGTATGTTTTGGACACGGCCTTATGAGCAGTCATCACATGAGCGTCCACAGACATCAATAGAGAAGAAACTGTCTTGTTTGTAAGAAGAGGATTTTATTCTAGCTATGTTCCTTGGACAACAGTCTCTCTTTCTCTTTACATAGTGTCTTTAATACTGGCCTCTGTGGTACAGAAGAGTGCATTTAGGTGGTGTTATCTGTAGTTTGCAAGGTCACTTTCTTTACCCACGTGAAGATTAGCCATTAGTATGACTGAGATTGATTTGGAAAGGTGGGTGAGATACCAAACCTTTACCACCACACACACTATGCCTTACTTAGATCATCTGGTGATGCAGGAGCAAGCACTGGCTGCCTCCTGTCATTGAGCAACAAGGAGGGAAGAAGCAGCAGAGCCAGCATCTGGCCTTGCGCACTGCCAACGCTACCAGCCTGCACATGCATATGCTAGTTGAGGGCTCCTATAACGCACTGCTGCTCAAGGCAGTAGGTCACTGCCCACCAGAGTGACAAGGAACCAGGGAGGACACGGTGCTCAGATGTTTCTCAAGCACAGTGCCTGTTGGGCCTGCTGTGAGAGAGAGTGCATGTAAGAGTCCTTTGAAGTAGATGCTGAGCGTGGGTGAACTGAGGTCTCTGGGCCCACGCAGAAGAGCACAACCCTCTCCCTTGCCTCACTCCGACTTCCTTTCTCCTGCCTAACTCCTCCCTTCCTGTCATTGCATCTAAAATCAACCTGTAAGCTTTTCTGGACAGGGATTTTTTTTTTTCTAGCTGTACTGTAAATATCCAGTGTTCGTTGGATATGTGGTGAGCTCACTGAGTGTAGCACTGAAATGCATCTTTAGAGCAGTATGGGTCCTGTGAACTGTAGCACAGCAATGAGTGAATTTACCTTGCCTCTCAGGCAAGCAGCCCTTGCTGAAGTGCACGCTGCTACAAAGAGACTGCTAGAGGTATTTGAGTTCGCTGTTTGGAAGGCAGTTGGTATCTCTCCCCGGTACTCTGGAGTGCTGGGGTGATTGTGTAAAGATACTCAGGGAGCTGTAAATTAATTAGCCACAGGTGCTTTGGTATACCTTGGAGTTTAGCAGTGTTGAATAAAAGTAAAACTTTTTACTAATAGTAAAATATGAACAGTATATTCTAGAAAGCAATCTGTGCACAGAAGGAGGTTTTGGTGCTCCCCGCCCCTCCAAATCACAGTAGGTGGAAAAGAAATTGCTCTTTATTTTGCTGACTCAATTGACTTGCCCTAATAGGCTGCAGGAAGCAGGGAGGGGATAGTTTAATGAATGGAAATAACAAAGGGGTGGGGTGGTTGAGCCTCGTCATAAATTCCCTATTCCTCCTCCCCTAATCTGCATGAAGAGGTCCTGCCAGCCGTAGGACTCGGTATCTTTTAACGTTGGATTTACATGCATCGGGGGCTGCAATGGGATCGAATTTAAGTTCAAATGAGGTAAGCAAAAGGAGCCCATAGCTGACAAGGGAGTTAAAATTGCCTGATATTCCAGTTCAGTTGATCACAGCAGACAACCAGTGGTTTCAGGTATAGGAGCAATCCACGGACAGCAAGTCTGCTGCTCCTTAGATCCCACGGTTGCAAGGACTGTTTTCCTAGGTTAGCTTTATACACAGACCCTTGTGGCACGTCCGCGTTTCGGAGTTATGTCTTAGGGTTAACAATGCTACTTACTGTGCTTCTTTAGAAAATGCTTCAAGGAAATTAGAAGGTGGCACAGAAGAATTGTTCTTATGGGATTGGGGGGGAAGTATTATTAAACCACTTAATGACTGTTGTTAATTAGCATAGTTCTAAGTATGGCTTTGAATCTAAGATTTTTAAATGTCAGCCTAAAAGTGAAGTTGAAAAAGTTGTAGTTTAGTTTTGTTTTTTAACTCTGTCTTGTGTTATTTTTTCTAGACTTTTACCAGCACCTCAGCGCAAGCAGTGAGAGCGGTAGGTAGTTATTAGATGGCCCTTCATTAACTGCTGTCCAGTGCTGAATATAGATCACAAGAAAAAATGTTAGGAATTCAATGGCTCAGGGGAAAAATATACTGGAATATTTACTGAACACTGAAAGGTTGAGCTGCCACTTCAGCAGAGGTGCAATATTGAGGTGAAATATTGCCTTGCTTCCCAGTGAACTCTGTCAAGTCTGACCTGTGTTTCTGATGCTTATGATGCTGCCAGGAAATGTTGCACTATATCTGGGCATGTTCATGTTCCAGCCCCCCCCCCCCCCCCTTTTATGTTTTTATTTCTTTGGATGGAAAGCCCACTGTCTTGTGCTTCATTGCTTCATAGGAAGGATCTGTTTAAACGGATCTTTCAAATGTTTTTACTGCTCTGATGTTCCTTGTAGTTTTTCTTTTCACTATAATACTCTGCCATAATTTGAAATTCATTATGCAATACTGTGCTTAAAAGTACAATGTCAGAACAAGCAAAGCTGTGGAATAAACATCAAGTTCTGTCTTCTGGCAAAGCCGGATCTCATTAGCCTGGTAGGAGTGCGTGGGGTGCCAAATGAGAACTTTTCTGAATGTGGAAAACAGCAACAAGGCGTAAAGACTGAGCTGAGGACAAACTCTTCATTCAGATGAATGAAAACTTCCCTGGCAATTACCAGACACTCACATGAACGAGTATGAGATTAATGGAAAATGTCAGATAAGGTGTTATACCCCAGTGAGTAGGAGCAGGGGCAGTGACAACGGGATGTGGCTGTCTTCAGATATTTTAAATGCATTTAAATGCAGATATTTTAAATGTAGATATTTTAAAGGCCGCCAGTAGTTGTTGCGGGTTCTCTGATGGTTTGTAGTAGGCAGATGAGCTCCTGCCCGGCTTCAGTGGCGTTGTGGTTTCTCAGAGTGGTTTGTTCTGGGCTTTGGTTCTGCGTGGCCCTACTGTGGGAACTGCTGCGACACGGGCTGTCCCGAACAGCGGTGATTTGTCCTTGCCTCGTGAAGGTTTGCTGTTATTGGCAGTGTCTAATGTCTGATTGTGTCTGAGAGCCATTTGATGCCTTCTCTGTCCAGCTGAAGTGAAATGCTATGATAAAGCAAAGACTCTGCAGAATTTTTTACAGAAGCACCTCTTAAAAATGATACTTCAGGGCTCTGTGTATAGTTCCCAAATCCTAATCAAGTGTGGTAGTATCATAAAATTGTAACTGTCACCCCTGTAAACTCAGCCTGTGTTTAGAAAATCAAGTTTGTTTTTTTTCCCTTGGTGCTTTTTCCATTGTTAATGGGTCTCTAGGCAAAAGACCTTTGCAGTTCACTGGTCTTAAATTGTACCTTCTGTCTTCAGGGAACTTAGAGTGGCAGAATTGACCTGAATATAGTAAATATAATGCATGCTAAGAACCAGAGTCATATCTTTCTGCATTGATTCTTCAGGGCTAACAGAAGCAGAAATCACTAAGAACCTGGGTTTTTTTGTTTGTTTTTTTTTGTTGTTTTTTTGCCATGGAATTTGGTAGTTATGACAATAAATACATAAACATAGTATATCTGATTTTTTTTAAAAAAAGTTACTGCATAGTTTAAGAAAACCACAGTTTTTATTAGCAGAGTCAGTTTTAGGGCAACTCATGCAATACATGTGATTTAAATATCTATTTAAATTAAATGGATAATGTAAAACATTTTATGGAAAAATGGTAGTGTTAGTAACCTGGGAGGCCAAAAATTTACTATTTTTTGATTACTTAAGGTACTCAAAGATTACTCGTACTAAAATAATATAGGCTATCATTGTATTGACATAAAGCCATCTTAAACATGGAAATGTTTGGCTCAGTTTCTATTCTAAGATTAGAATTTATTTTAATGTGGAACTGCAGCGGTGGAACTGCAAACAAGAAGAAATTGTGTGAAAACTACGGTTTGAAGCCACAGAATTTTATATAGCTCTCAGAAAGAAATTCACTGAAATTCGCTGCTGTTACATTTACGTTTATTCTGGGACAACTCTAGTGAAGTTTTACTGATTTAGTAAGATCCAGCTACAACATATTTTAAAACTGATGAAATAAATACAAAAGATGTAGTACAAAGAAAGTGCTTTTGTGCATCTGACCTTCCCTGAGTTTGGAGACATGGTAAATTAATGAAATCCTGCCTGTCCTTGAGGCTCCAAAACTCTCTGAAGTTAATAGGTGCCACATACTTGACAGAGGTCAGAACCAAGTCAGTGATCTGTGTACTATAGTCCGGTCAGTCTTTCTGACAGAACTGAGCATTTTCTTCATTAGTCTTCATGGTTTTTAAATTTGGAGTGAGATTTTTATTCCTTTTTGAAAAGAAAACTAAGGAAAGAGTACTCTGCCCCAAATATTATATTGGACATGCTATTTTACTTTGCTATGTTTCTCTTGATATGACTTAGAAACGTCGTCTGTGCTTCGCTCTGTTCTCCTCACGAAGAATTGTCTGTATAGGAAGGCTTTTGTAACAGTATAAGCCTGAAGTTTTACTGCAATAGAGCACTTACAGAGCCCAGTTAGGTAACTCTCATTCGTGTGGATGAGCGCTCACCTGGGTGAACAGTCCCATTGACCTCGCTGGGAATAGATATGTAAGGATTGCACAAATGTGGCACAGGACTTAATTGAACTTCAGTCTGACGCAGGTAGGATAGTGTGACCAATTCCTACGTTTGTAATCTAATATATTTAAATAGTTTCAGCAGTGACTATTAAAATGCCTGGCTTGTATTTCTGGTTTATGAGGTAACGATCATGTCTCAGACAAAATAAACACAGAAGCTGAAAGCTGAAGTGTCCCTAACAACTGACCTCAGAGGCTTCTGGGTGCAGAATTTACTTAGCCTGTGACATGGTCATCATTAGGTTAAAGGGAAAGACACGAAGTCATTACATATTAATAGCAGACTATCTATTTAAGATGAGCTCCACTGCAGTTCTTTGTGCGACTTTGAGCAAGTCGCTGAGAGCTAGATTCAATAAAGCGTTCAGATACTGAGAAATCAGGAGCTACAAGGCCTGACCTGAAGGTCCCTAGTGCGGAAATGGAACCTGTAACCCTGTGTGAGGCACTGGGGATTGATTTAATGTGCTGGAGAGTTAGATACACAGGAAAGGGAACTGTGTAAATACAGGTAAGTGTGTTCAGCTAGTAGAGAAAGCTGAGCACAGGAATACCAATCTTGTATGCCACTTACTCAGGGCTGACAGGAGGCGCCAGTATCTATTTGAAATGCACAAACAAAGTAGAGGTCTATACCCTTCTTCAAAGACCTGAGCCAAGGTTATTCCTTTAAAATGATGTCCTTTTACAAGATATCCTAGTATGTATAGCACTTCCCTGGTATGGGGGATACTTCTGCTCAGTCCATTTTTCTATTTTCAAGGGATGCAAGTCCCAGCTTTCCTGGGTAAAGAGATGTTCTATCTCTTCTGCTAAAATAGTGCTGGTAGGGACAAAAACATTGAGTATTTATTGGGTGGGAGAGCAGGGACCAAGCATAAACCTAATGGCAGCAAAAGGGTCAGTAGATGTAGCAGGGACAAACAAGCATTGATTGTTGATCCCTGTGCCTAGGACTGCTCTTGTGTTTTACCCTGCCCTATTGAACACACACACACAAAAGCAGTACTGGCAGTTTAACTCCTGTATAGCTCTGGACAGAATGCCTTTTTTTTCTTTTTGACTGGAAAGTGTGATCTTTCTTCCAAAAGAACTAAGGTGCTTCTTTCAGAGTGTGTTTGTCCAAGTTCTCCTTCATGGCCATAGAGATGCTGCAAACACCACAGCAGGTGGAGGAGTGATGTACTCTTTGGGATAGCCGAAATGTCCCACAGCTGACACTTAAGGTGCTTGCAATCTGTGCTCTTTAAATATGTGTCCTGCAGTAGAGCCTGGACAAGTTGAGGTAGTGCAGAACAAATGTGCCAGTATCAGTGACTGTCTGATCCTCCTGCTGGTGTCTCAGGTGGCCAGCCTGCGCTGGCCTTCAACTCTGCCTCTTCAGCTCTTTGCTGACCCAAGAGGAAGCGTGAGGGGGATGTGCCAGGGGTTACCATTTTCCAACTCTGCTTATCAGTGTTATCCATTATTTCTGCCTGGGGCTTCATTGACAGCTTCATTACACTATGTTAGTGTCCAAAGTCCTGTAAGGGTCCCATTTGCTTAACACCATGCCAAGTGTTGACAAACACTTCAATAAGACTTCTGCTACAGCTGGAAAGATGAATGGTCCAACAAAATGTGTAGCATGTATGAGGGGAAACAGTAGCAAGGTACATTTTATTAGCAAACATCAGTAGATTATTTTCACTTTTGCTTCTGATACAGGGCTGGCACTTCATAAAGTAATAAAACAACTGTATTTGTGTCAGGACATGGAGTGTGTTCACTTTTTTATTAGGGCATTATATGTCTATGAATGTAGGCATGAGAGGGTTTATAAGTAGAGTTAATATCTTTTCGTAGATCAACAGGTAAAGATAGATCTAGATACAGCTATAGATGGAGACAGATCTAACACAGAATCAGGAGATTTCAAAGCTAAATTTTAAATAAATGTTAAAAGATAAATTGTATATACACACACACATGTATGTATGCTATGGTGAGATTGTTTCTAAAAGGAAAGATGGCACCTATGAAACAGAGGATGTGTTACTGTGGGAGAGGAGAGAGAGAGAAAGGTGTTAAAGTAGTTTTCTCCAAAATAAAAAGGACCAAGAGTTAATTTATAGCCTGAGGAATATGAAGATGTATTAGTATGGGCCATGGAAGTTACAAGGTATTACAGAATTAATACCACTGATGAGCCCCAAGTGTCTGATATCCAGTAGAATTAAGAATTAATTCCGAGGGTCATCTCTGGAAAGCAATGGTAGCTTTCTGTTGGGCATCAGGGCTGAGGATGGGAGGTGGATCCAGAGATTCTTCATAAGAAATATTTCTCTGCTGCCAGCTCGGTTTCCATTCTTTTAGGCTGCCTATGAGAGTTTGTACTGTTGTGTGGTGGTCACTTATTTCTACTTGCACAGTTACTGTGGTGGCATTTGGTGTCTCAGGAGCAGGGTATTATATTCCAGGCAGTGGGTGTGTGAGACCCAGGGATACTGATGCATGTGCTGGGGGCGTGTTTTTTGTGATGAATGTGGACTGGTGGTAGAAAGAGCTGGTACATATCTAACTGGAAGCTGAGCTACTGTTCTCAACTGGTATGTGGTTTTGAAACCTGCTGCTCCTATTGAAGGCTGATAGAGCTTCTGTACCAAAAATTCATCCAGTTTTTCCAATTGCTCCAGCTGGTTTGATGAAAGATACTGGCTCAACCTTAAAAACCTTGTTTTATTCATGCCTTTTAGAAATTTAGGGCTACAGTATATGCTAGTCTATGACTATAGACTATATCACTCATACTCATCTTTTTTTTTGTTGTTTTGTTTTTGGAATTGTTGTGCAGAGACCAGTATCTCCTTTCAACTTACTCACGGTAAAAATACTAAGAGTGAAGAATGTCCGGAAGGCAGACCTGCGTGAGTACTTCTGCTATTGTCAGATGTTTCTTGTTAGTTCCTTAAAGCAATGAAAATATTTGAAAGTTATTGGTCTTAAATAGTGTAGAAATACCAAGATACGGTGTTGCAAGTTTGCAAGACTTATTTTTATTGTGATACTGAAGCCATGCTTCAGTGAAGAGGCTAATTCAAGCAAAGTGATGTAGTTTTTCCTCAGGATTTCAAACCTCACTGTATGAGACTTATTTCACAGCCCTGTGATGTCAGGCCCAGCTGCTAATCAGAAGGCTGCTCATTTAATAATGAACATTTTTGTACTTTTCAGTAAGAAAACCTGAGTATTCCCTACAGAATTCCTGGGCAGAAGATAGAAGACTAATAATGCAAATGTAAAATCAGCAGTAGCAGGAAAGCTTATGAAATTACAGAAGTACAAGCATGGGCATCCTATTACAACTGAAGACTCTCTAAATATGCAAGAAGAAAATGATAAGATGCAATGTATCTGGAAATTTACTTAACCCAGGGTACCAAACAGTTTGAAAGTCAGAAAAAAATATACAGACGACTTTTGAAAGCCTTAAAAAGAATTTAAGAGAGGGATAGTGAGGAGAAGCGAGAGAAAGATGTCCAGAATAGAGGCTGCAAGTGAAATGTCACAGCTGCATCATGGAACAAGAGTTAACAGTGAAAAGGGCCCAGGATAGAAGAAATCTCCCCAGTGGGGCAGTCTATGGAGTGCTACTGCTCTCTGGCTGGGGAACCCCTTTTAACAGTTCCTGTTCTCTTTCAGCCTAGTGAGCATCAGCTTGTTGAATGAGAGTGTAGCAGCAGATTTAAAATGAAAAGCCTCAGAGAGAATGGGACTTGCAATGGGTGGAAAGAGCAGTTTGTTCACTGGCCAGGCGTGAAGCTGACTCACCCAGCAAAGGAACTGGTTGCATGCTGAGTTTTGAAAAGTTCCAGTCCCCGGGAGACAACAACAAAATGGAAAGATGTAAAACAAAGAAACAGTGCATAGTATTTTCACCGAAACCATGCTGAACGTGACTCAAAATTGTTTTGGTAGACTCAGTGTTTCAGGTAGCATATCATGATCTCTAAGGAAATCAACTGTAAATTTTATTTAAGGTATTATATATTTGGAGATTTTAACCAGTATGATGGGTCAAGGGGTAGACAGAAAATGTATGTGAAGTTGAATTTGGTAGTTGCTGGTCAGAAGAATGTGAATAGAACTCGTAGAAGTAGTCCTCACCAGCTAGAGTAGTTTTGAATGCGTGCTTACCATTAGGGAACAAATCTCTGCTGCACTCGCTTGTGGTATTCTGCTCTACTTATGCCTGTGTCTTCTGCAGTGTAATGCTAGCATAATTATTTATTGGGTACCTCTTATTTTGCAACTTTATAGAACCTGCTATGATTTACTCTGTTTACTCTATAATTCTTAATTCTTTTTTTTTTGCTCTAGAAATGACAGATAAGCCAATTTGTTCTTTTAGATTATTTATAATATTATCATATTTCATTTTGAAAATGAGATTCAATTCATTAGGCAAAGTGAGATAGCCTTATAAAATGTAAAGTTCTGGATTTCTTAGAGATTAAAGACCTGTCTGCATATGCAGAAACATAAGCTTAGTTGTGGGATTATAGTCGTAAGCACTGAATTTATTTCACAGAAAACAGACATTCAAGTGCCTACATGGTAATTTCCATGAAGCAAATATATGCTCTGACCAGGCAGTTACTGCAATTGCATCTGCAGACTTGCACGTGCTGTGTACATTTGTGCACTCCAGCGGGTTGACTGTGTATACCTCAATTCACTGTGATTGTCCTTCTCAAGAACAAATTGCTCACAATTGCTTCTTACCACAGTGAATAATAAATTCTTCCTTCCTGAAGCCTACTGGCTTGTCTGCCGTATTGTATTACATTACTTCCTTGTGGTCCATCCTCACGAGCAGATGAACAGCTTCTTTACCTTTATCCCCTCGGTATGCAACGAGTTCAGAATTTGGGGTTGGCTTCCCAGGAATTTTTTTTCTGAAGTCTCAGAAAAGGTAAAGCCTAAAATGGCATTTCCTCAAAACAGCAGTGTTTTCAACTGCAGGGAAAATATCCCTTTTTTAGCTGGTTGTAATGGTCACAATATGCTTCTTTTTAAAATTCTGAGTTAAGGTTTTATTCCTCTGGTTCAGCTTTCCTGCTTTTTTAATCCAGTTTTGGGGTTTCCCATTTCAATATGTTTTTCATATTTTCTTGTTAATGAAGCGTTTGTGTTTAGTTTATTTAAATGAATCTTTCTTCTTGCACTTTCTCACATTCGTATTTACTTGGGAATCTAGACTGTCTTTTGGACCCTGATACTGACTGCGTTACGGGATCTTGCGCAAGTCATTCAAGTTTTCTCAATGTACTTGCTTACTTCACAGTGGCAATGTAAGGATTAATTCATCAATGTGTCACAGGTTCTTTGAAAATGGAAGTTCTAGCGTTAATCACCATTAATCAGTTACATTTGCATCTGCTTACACTTGTGTCTCTGCCAAATATCTGATTGGTCTTGTTTTTCTGGTTAGTATTGGCTACGAGCATTTTCTGAAAGCATTTTCCTTCCCACAGTTATCATCAAGGTTTTACTGACTGTGATAGTATGATCACTACATGATAAAGGTAAAGTTTTGAGAAAAATATGGCTGGTAGAAAAATCTGATCTGTAGCAGTTTATAAAAGATAAAGAGGAAATATATGAAGAAAATTGTGTTTAACCCCATGTAACAATACTGTTACGGGTTTTGAGTATGATGCAGGGATTAATTATGAGCTGAATTATTTGACTACATCTGACTCACAAGGTTCTTGTGAGAAACAGATGACTGGTTAAGCATTACTAAGGTGAAATTGGGAGAACGCGTTTTGCATTATACATATGAGACAAATTCCATCTGTAGATTGGAACCCGTGTCATGCATAGGTAAGTCACGCTCCCTGGAGATTCTCCCTCAAAATATGGAGGTGTCAAAATATGGAAGGAGCTGATGCCTTTGGTGCCACTTGCAGCTTGCTCTCCCAGACAAAAGTGACAGTAGGATTTTTCCAATCTGCATGGGACAGTAGGAAAGAATAGGACGAGTAGTAACTTAACGTTGGTCCTGAAACTGATTTTGTTTTCCAAAAGACTTTTTGAGAAAGATAGAACTTCTAAATTTTGTCAAAGACGTGAAAGAATTTCTGTTGAAAATTGCATGTTCTGTTTTGTGATAAGGAAGAACAATCTTTTTGGCTTTGACAGGGCAGCACTTTCCCTTTTCGCAAAAATTCTTCATTTAAACCAGCTCTTGGCTAAAGGCTTCCAACTAGCTTAAGATACTGAATCTGAGGAGGAAATACTGAAAGACTAGTATCTCTCCAAACCATGTTGAAGTTTGAGAGGTGGGTTGCCTGAGCTACAGAGGAGCCATCCTAAGTCATGTGATTGCATATGAGAGAAGGCATATACTGGTAGATACTCTCATGTTTTAGCAACATTAACTTGTTCCCTCCCCCACTCATTTGAACCCTCATGAATATATAGCTATGTACAGCATTTTTGGGTGTTCATGTGGAATACAGTGTTTTTTCCAATAAAAAGCAACATTTTAAAAGGAAAATAAGTCTGACCAGAAGTATAGAAGTGGGAATGAGCATGGCAAATATGTGAGGATGTTTTATGTTTTCCATTGAGTACCTCACTGTACTATTTACTCCTTAGCCTGCATATTTTAGGAAGAAATCCCCTACTGTGTTATCTCTGTCTTGTTAGGGTTAGCTGTGCACACTGCAACAATCCTTTCACTCAATATATTGTCACTCTGAGTTTACCTTTTCTTTATATAGTCACTCTATCAGATTGCTATGTGACACTGTGGCTGCCTACTGCCTCAACTGAAAAGGTCCGGACCAGAACCATCAGGAACAGCAAGAACCCAGTCTGGAATGAAGCTTTCTGCTATAAGATCGATCGCCGTATCAAGGTAATGAAGTTAAACGCTTTTCACCATCTCTAGATAGTGAGTAGATAATGCAAATCTACGCTGACTAAAAAGAATTTGGTTAGTCTCCAAACGCTTCAGATGCTGAACATTCCTCAGAAAATGAGGTCACTTGCATCTTCCATGGTATCTTGCTGTTCCACTTATTTGTTACTTGAACATGTACTTTTTTTGAAGCAGCAAGAAGCAATTAAACTCCCTGCAGACTATGGCCTTACTATTCTATTCCTAGTCTTGACATGTACAAGTAAAAGCCAAAGTAAAGATCACGTTCAAATCATGGTAAGGTAAGTTATGGTGGAAAGGAAATCTTCTAAACCTTCATGTATATGTTTGTTTTTTATATGCTTGGAGAGAGCCAGTGGCCATACAACAAATACAGAAACATGTAACATACCTAATCATCACAAATTTGGGAATGTTCCAGGTGTTCTGCCCATCTTGTTTCATGCCCCCAAGGACATAGTCCATCATCCCAAGTCCCAGGGCAAATCTAAGGTGAAACTAATTTATTTTCCTGTCACCTTGTCAGAGAAATGCTCACTTCCCCTAATAAAATTGGGCCACCTGAGCTCAGCGATAGACAAGCCCACTTCTTTTAATGTAAACTTTAATACTCCCAGGTCTTTCCCTTTCTTTTCTATTTTACTTGTTTCTTTTTACCTTGCTCCCTAAAACTGCAGACTAAACCTGCCTGTTCCTGAGATTTTTCTGCCTTACAGAGCTCTTTGAAAAATTAAATAGAAGTCTGAGAAATTCTTAACCTCATTTTGCAGAATGTGCTGGAGCTAAAAGTCTGTGATGAAGACACAATCACCAGGGATGATGAGCTCTGCACAGTTCTCTTTGACATAGATAAACTCACTGTGGGACGTACTGTTCGGGTGAAATTTCAGCTGAATCCGCAGGTGAGCAATGAAATCAGTGAGAACCGAAACAACTTCTTTTTACCACCTAAATATATCCTTGTACAGTATTTCATTATAGGAAAAATCTACTTGAAATTGTATTTGCTTCTATTGTCAGAAAGACTTAGAATCCCTGTGGTCCATTCTAGGTTTTTTTTGTGAGAGGGGCAGACTCTCTTGTTAACAATTCAGGATGGAATCACCTAGAAATAATTACCCCAATGGCATCATTCAGGATATTTCTGGCATGGTTTGTTAGCTGTTGGTTTGAGTTATGAATTCTCAGCCAGTTTAAACTGCAGGAATATAAAAGCTGCTGATTTTCTAGTACTGGGAATTTAATTCTGAGAAAGGGCTAACTTAGCAGAATAGCCATTTCCCAAGACTATGTGCTCATATAGCACTTAGGTTTCAAAATACTGATTCTGGCAACTGCTTTTTCAGTATCTGAAAGTTTAGTGAGTTGAGATGGCACCATGGTTTCTTTTTTGCAAATTATTCTATATTTCAGAGAATTTTCCAAGTGCTATCCTAAATACATATTTTACAAATGATATATAATTGGTGTGGTGAAAGCTATTAACAGAAATAAGTGATATACCTTTCTTTTTCTTCTTGCCTCTTTTCAGGCACGTGAGGAGCTGGAGGTGGAGTTCACATTGCAGAACACGTGAGTAGAATTCTAAATTTTATATAAACTATTGCATTCAGTATAAAAATAAGCTGGAAAGTTTGTTCATCTGTAATAGTGCTTTCTCTGAAAGCATTATCTAGATGTTTTCATTCAAGTCCAGTAAGTTGCCATTTGGAATTCCAGAATATACATTTTTTAGATTTTAAATATCTGAAAATGTTATTTTTACCCTATTGGAATGCTACCTCCTGGGTACCTCCTTCCTCAGGTGATGTCTTTGCCATTAGGTGAAAATATGAGGAAGTATGAGGAGAGTTACATATTCAGGAAGTTTTCACCCTTAGGAAAAGGAATGCTAAGCTGAAATGTCTGATTCCCCCTCCCCCCCTTTTGGTGGGGATCCTGCTTTTCAAATTGACAACGTTATAAAAGGCTCATCTGTAATTTGATCTATTTAGCTCACTTGGCTGCATATGGGGAGATGTGGTAGGCTGTAGTATCAGTCCCAGCTGGGAGAAGAACTAAGTAGTCTGCATAAAGAAAGGAGCAAAGATCACTGGGGGGGACTGAGGGCTGAGGAATCAGGGAAACTGGAGGAGCAGCATCAGCTTCACTTGGTAGGCTTGAAAGTTGTTGGTGGAGCTCAAGTGTGAGGGACTTGTTAGCTTCAGCTGATTAACATTGTGGAGAAATCTGGGGATCTTACTGAATCTTCTCTAACCGAAGAGAGAGTCTGATGCACAATCATGGGTGTTCTAGTCCATCCCCATAACATGCTTTATGACTCTGAGGAAGGTATTTGAGAAGATTTCTGTTAGCAATTTGATCCATGTTATTGGACTGAAATTGTGCTATTGAGACCCCTTCAAGGCATTTGGGACACTGCAGGAGGCCTAGCATGATAGTATATTGGTGAAGAGTTTGAATAGTGTATTTATTCCTAACAGAAGAAAAAATTCGGAATTGCTGGAGGAAAGACAATATCTCAGTGTTATGAACAGAGAAAGATCTCCCAGGGTTCACAAGCAAAAAGCCCATCAAAGTTAACAAAGCAGCCCCAGAATCTCCTATTGCAACTCCTGGAAAATCACCAGTATGAATGGATTTATGATGGTTACTGCATCAAAACTGGCAGAAGGCTCTGTATCAGCAGAACAAATGGTGCCCCTCACAACTTAAGAGTGTACCTCCAAAGTGGGGAGTGGAGCTCTGGTAGATGTCCCAAATGGCCTGTCTACAGTCTTTCTTCCTCTGCAAGTTAGAGGATGGCTTAGGGAGTTGGTACTTAGAATTATATTCTTAGTAATCCTGCTTGTTGAGGAAGGCACCTGTCTAGGCGGGTTGTCTGGCTTGAGTGTTATGCACTGGTAGGCTTGTATACAGAGATGAAGGGAGGAATCCGTCTCAGGGTATGCAGATGGTGGCTCTGTGTCAAATGTTTCTGCTGGACCTTGCAACTAGGTTCCATTTCACTGGGGGCATGTTCACTTGGTAAAGTTAGAGATTTAGCAACTTCTTTAGATTCTGCACAATAGTTTTGCTGGTCAGAAGGTGATGATAGGGACTGTACAAATAGGAAGGACCCTTGACAGAAACATAGTCATTGGTCAGTAACTACAACAAAAACATTTGTGAACCTTTTTTTTTTTTTTTTCATTCATAGAATATGGTACCTGAGTGACTAATGTAATATTTGTGGCCTATAGAAATCCCTGCACAAAGGGAAGACGTTGCTGTGTCATAAGGTAGTCAGGCCAGGGAATGTAACTCTAAGGGTTGCAACAGGTTGCAGAAAAGGGAAGACTCTTCTCTAAGGAAATGGTCTACATGTTGGAAAGTGGATAAACATTTCTCCTCCTCTCTCATTTGCATTTCTTGCATACGTGTGTGACTTAGTGCTGTTCTGCCCATCAGCCAAGTCCGGAATAAATGTGCAAGCACAGCTGAGTTAATTAAAAATTGTTTTCTGGAGAACTTTTCATGGACTCTGATTTTGGTAGGAGATCAAGAGGGTTTTTTTTCCCCCTCAACACAGGAAATCATGACGTAAGGAATAATAAAGCAAAGGGTTTGAGGACAAAAATTAAGACCATGATGTGCATTACCTGTGATAAGCTAGAGGGCTGTGGAAAGGTCTGAAAGCATGAACTGAAGTAGATGAGATGGGTCACCAGAACGCTATGTACCAACCCTAGCTCTCTTGAGCTGAACAAGCCCAGCAGGTTTTGGCAAGGGAGGAGGGCCCAAGTGGCCAAACAGGAAATCTCACTGGTCCAGAAAAACGAGCGTTGGAAATAATATCCACTTTGGAACAAGAGCTAGCTACTTCTCACATTGACAGGGATACCCAGATGGAGAATTTCAATTAAGAAAAAATGCGAACATTAGAAAAATGTGGACTGTGGAAAGATGGAAGTATGTTACTGACTCTGATTCCCTATTAAGATTGGTTCAGCTGCTGTTGAACCAAACCCAAAGCGGGGGCACAATGAAGCCCTGGGGAAAAACTGCTGAGGAAAAGATCTCTTTAGAAAGAAATCACCAGATATTTGGTGATCTGAGAACCTATTAGAAGACTGTTTAAGTTCCTCTTCCCATAACTCTTAAATAAGCCATTTGAATAAATTAACCTATCCTGAAGGTACTGCCGGGCTGGAGAAGAGCTGACAGAAATTAGAAACAATTTTAAGTGGGGGAGAGCCAACCACAGTGCTAACATGAAGCACAGCTAACCATGTGGGACAGTTTCTACAAGTCCGATACTGTGATGGGAACAATGAGAACAGAATGTTTTTTATAGGTAAACATGGCAGCTTCTCTGAGAAGGTAATTATTATCTCCATGACGTTTTGTCCAAAGCAGTTTACCGCCTTTTACTTCCTCATCTTCAGTCCAGGTCTTACTGACTGCCAATTGGAAAACTTACTCTATCAGCTTGTTCTTTCTTTTCAGCATTTCAGATGAATAACTTCATATGCGAAATGTAATCCTAGGCCAAGAAAGTTTCCTGGGTTGCACCTACAGTGGTAGTTTTGTCACACTCGTATCTTTGCCTGTTGACCTCACGGCAAAGATTGTGTTTTAGGTTACTTTTACCAAAGTATGTTATAAGTATTTGCTTTTGAATCACCAGTGGGCTGTATGAAATTTGGTTCTTGCATTCATTCCAGTTATCTTGGATTTAAAATGGAAGAAAACTGTCATTTTGGTAGTTTGTTTTCCGCAACTGCAAGATGAGTACCCTCCCTAGTTTTGCCTCACTCTTACACCATTGCCTGCGGTAACTACAAATGTACATCCTTGCTGCCACTACCTGTGGCAGGCTCTGAGAACCCGATATTTGATCCTAACAACCCAGAGAGGAAGGCACGTTCCTTCCTCCAAGTGCCTTTCCACCAGCAACTGAGCCAAGGGATTGCAAACACCTGTCCAGTGTTTTATAGGCACATAACATGAACCCAGCTGGCGTGAGAGCTGCTGCCCTTGAGCAGCAGCAGTGACAGAAAAGGTAAGTCTGTTGTACACAGGTTGTTGATTTGTATATTTTAGTGTTCTTTGTGTTATTTTGTGATCTTCTTTTTTCAGAGGTAATGTGGGCTCTCTCCCTTGTGTTTCCCTTGGTAGTGTACAGCAACAGAACGAGCCTTTACGAACTGCTGAGGGGACAGGATCCCGCTGGACTAGGTGGCTTCGCTCACTCAACATCCCTCTTCCCTCTGATTTTTACTGAACCGCAGGCCCTAATATTAAGGGGCCACAAAGGGACTTCTAATGAACTAAAAGGTACTTTGAATTTGCAAGGGAGCTGGAGAGGTTCGAGGGGGCCGGAGTATTGCTGGCTCTGCTGATCATCTTTTTGGCCTCTTCCTGTCTTTCAGATGTCCCAGGTTGAGGAGGTTCATCTGAAATATTACCCAGAAGAATGAAGGACTATTCTCATACAACTTTTCATCTCAAATCCCCTTCCCTTTTCTTTTTTCAAATGTGAAATTGTTTAAAACAAAGCCCACAACAGAAATGTAAATAGATGTACAAAAAGTTGTATAAAATTTTAATGTTAATTATTGAAATATGGCTAAAGCATCATTTTTAGAAAATAAAAATCTTTTTCTTTCTGTAGTTCTGCTGTGTTCTTTTGAAAAATTTCCCCTGTGTTTAGGGGGAGCAGCAGACCCTACTAGTAGTTTGGTTTGGGCACTGCTGAGGAAACTCTCCTACTGGGCTGAGGCTTGATCTGTGTGGGGCTAAGTGTATTGTTTATATTTGTGACAGGAAATCACATGGCCCGAAGGAGTACTTAAGGCAAAAGTTTTAGGTCAAGGAAGAACACAGCCAAAGCTTCTTTGAGGATAATACAGTTTTATTTTTTTCAAAAATATTTCTCTTTCAGTGTTGAGAGACAGCGACTTTCTGTGATTCTCTTCTGTTTTCATAAAACAATGGCACTTGCAGGAGGTGAGAAACAAATTACCTGGGAGTAAGCTGTCTCTATGTCTGATTTGGACCGCAGAGATTGTACGCTATCCTCCATGTTTCTCTCCGTGTAACTTGGAACAGGAATCAAGTCATCAGAAAGCTCAGAAAAGTAGCCTATGCTATGTGAAAGCCACTAAAAGAAGGGGGAGCTGGATCTGATGTGAAAGAGTTAAAATGTATAGATTTGTATGCAGAAATCTAGACTCCCTAGTGCTCTGGAACAGAGCACGTTTGCCTACTCTACTGTAATGTGAGAATCTGTGTATCTATAACTTCCTCTATACAGTATTGACTGTTTCGTTATAAGCCAGACAAGGTGCACACTGACCTAGCAAGGAAGAAAAGAGAGTTCAATCTGTATTAGGTATTGTAGAGGCACAGGGTGGGAAGTGATCCTCTAGGTCACTGAGTCCACCACAATCGTAGGCACCCGTGCAACCTATGTTTAGTAGGGAAATTTTTCTGTTCCTGGCTTTCGTTGCTGTAGGCTGCAAATTCTCATAGTAAGACTGAGACCTGCTATGTAAAAGGCCAGAAACCATAAACTGCAATAGGCACCAAGAAGAGGACAGGAGTGTTAGTATATGTAATGTGGGCCACGCAATATCAGGATGTTTGCTAGGGAAATTTCCACTTAACCCTAAGAAGTGGACCTTATCCAGTGCTCCAAAATATTGGAGTAGGCAAAATATTCAAAGGTCCCTGCCAATCTGAAGAGTAAGGGCTCCTCTGCACCGAGCTCAGCTTCGTGTCTCTAGCCGTGGCTGATTTCCAAAGCTTCAAAGAAAGGTGAATGCTTTCCCTCTTCTTAGAAGTGCGTATGTCACCGGGGGGAGAAAAGAAATCTTTCTGGTCTGTGCTTGAATCAGCGGAAGCTGTGAGACACGGGGTAAGGAGAGTTCAGATCACAGTGCAGAGCGTGGCCAACAGCTGATGACAGCCAGGCTTCCTTAGGGCAGTAACAGCAAGGCTGATACCTGAAGGCTGATACCACCTCAGCCATCAGTGTTCAATGCCTGTATCATCCTTGCTTTTCCCAGAAGCTTGTGCTCCGATGCAAATTCTGTAGTATTCTTCCACTCTGTTTGAAGGTTATGCCTTGAATCTTCTCATTACCCATCTAACTTTATACTTTGCCATTACCAGTAACTCAGATAATACCACACTCTCCTGGATATTTACCTCCATGAAGAGATATCTTTGCCTGTCTCTCTACCTTCTTTTCACCAGGCTAGGCAGACTGAGACCTTTTGATATCCACCCATGCTGTTGACAAACAGCTCCCTCTTAACTGTTTTTAATGAAGTGTTTGAGTACTGTGACTCCATGTGATGTGTAATGCTACAACTTTTTGACCATAAAAAATAAGTGCAGAATTTTGGGTCTGGAAAAAACCTTGAATGATAACTAAATCCATTTCCCTGAATGGTATTAGGAACACTGAATATATTTTGCCCTTTCCTGATAGATGTTCTTTGAACTTATTTTTAATACATTTTCAAAAAGAGAAGATCCTACAAAATTCTTAGGTAACTGCTTCTGCTACTTAGCCGTCTTTGTCACTGGAAACCTTTTCCTGCATGTTCTTTGCTATGTTTAGCCAGTTAATTTTTGTTATCTTAGAGGGGAATGTTGATTTGGAAATTAAACTTCGGACTGTTTATGAAGTTTGGAATTTTGGGAGGATTTTTGTCTTAGAAAATTTTGCAAAATTATTTTCCTGTGAGTTTATACTGAAATCTGGTAGTGTGTGGTAGATCCCTCACCCTGTGAGGGTGACAGAGCATTGGAACAGGTTGCCCAGAGAGGTGGTGGAGTCTCCTTCGCTGGAGATATTCAAAACCCGTCTGGATGTGATCCTGGGCAATATGCTCTAGGTGACCCTGCTTGAGCAGGGAGGTTGGACTAGATGATCTCCAGAGGTCCCTTCCAACCTAAACGATTCTGTGATTCTGTGATCTTCCCGTGAAATGGGAAATGGAAAATATTTAAAACACCTAAGATAGTCTCCAGCTCTCCTCAAACACAGTATGTTACACTTGAGAAATCATTACGCGGTATAGTAAAGCAAGTCTGAAATCCACAGCACTAAAAAGCCCAGCTTCATATTCTATCGTGACAGAGAAGTGTGGAAAAACGGGCCACTCAGACCATCTGCTAGAATTTTGCCTCCTAACAGCCTTATAGCATTTGTGAGTGAGAACAAATATTAAAGTTGGAAATGTCAAAATTGATGGGGAAAAATATGTAACGTTTAAATATTTATCTGAGTTATTCCAACCATGATATTGTATTTTCTATTTTATTTTTCAGTGTGGACTATCCTGATGCCATCATTACTAACGGAGTACTTGTGGTAATGTTCATTTGTTATGATCTTTCCTATGAAATGTTCACATATTTAGCTGTGGAAACTTTAAGCTGTGTCCCAAAGCCTGTTCTATCAGCCATAGAAGAAGGGTCTGTAACTGGCATTAAGAATCACCAGTTTCCCAGCGCTCCTGTGGAGTGCCACCTTCTGTCAAAGGCAGGCAACAATACAGTTGTCAGCGTTACCCTATGCAGAGCCCCCACTTTCTGCCAGAAGTTTGAGTTTCCTACCAATTATTCTTACGTTATGCCCCGAACTAGCAGGGACTAATGAAGAAGGTGATACAATGCCCATAAAAAGTCCCATACCTCAAGATACCTGTTATTTTAAATAGGTCTCACCTTCATCATCTCATTTGTCTCTCACTTCCAAGTTAAAGCAGCTCATGAGCGGTTCCTCTTTACTGTCCAACCTGGCAAAAATACCATGTCAGTATTATCCTCATGTCACCTAAAGAGATGATAACTATAGATAATAATGTTACTCATTGATGAACTAGAGGGGCTGGTTGAGAACAGAATGAATCACTCACAGTGACACTTACACTATTCTTTTCTGTCGTTTATTTTCCCTGTTACAGGCACGTGAAGTTTCCTGTTTGGAGGTTAGAGTGGATACAGGGAAGCTGAAGCTGCAAGCCACAAGTGAGGTTATTGCTTCATTAACCTATTGTTTTAGTGTTGTAATTCAGTCATTATAACAGATGCTGAAAAATTAATAGTCTGTTGTACATGTTACCCTGGCTGTGTCCCATGATACTAGTTTCACCATGCCCCACCTTGCGGAAAGATTTTATCTGTCAAAAGTCTAAATTATTTAAGTATTTGCTTCCCAGGTGAATCTTAGATTTATGCAAAAATAACGCTATATATAATAGAATTAAAAATTTGGAATAAATTATATTAGTTACCATTGTGTTTTGCTTGGTCAGAATGGAAATTAATTAATTTGGATCTTTTAAAATTATCTTATAATTACAATCCTATATAGAAATCTTAGCCTGTATGCTTAATTTGGGCTTGAGTACATACAAGGTTTCTGTACATTAGATTCTGAAAAAGATTTTTTTTCCCTCGAGTTGCTTGAGCAGAAATAATAAACTTATAAACTTAAGCTCTTGAGCTTAAAAGAAAATGTCTGCACAAACTACAAATCACTGACAAATCAGGCTTTTGCTTGTAAAATGAAGTCATAGTAAATATGAAACTTTTCAATAGCCTTTTAAAGTTCACTTGAATGAATAGTACCTTTTGTAAAGCTGCTTATGGGGTGAATCTTGAGAAATCATGACTATTTCTAGATAATTCATGAATGGAAAACGAACCATTTTGAAGCAAATACAATTATGGAGTGCTGTTATGGGAAGGTTCGGTCTGAAATGTAACTTGGCAGGAAAGATGAACGACCTAAAATTATATGCCAGTTGCCCCTAAGGTTGCGAAAAAACAGCATAGGATCTCTCTGTGAATATAAAGGCTTTTCTGTGCAAGAAGCACAGCCTTTGGGTTAATCAGTTGTTTCAGTTTTGGTGACAGGATTATTATTGAGCAGTAGTGACAGAAGGCACACATCAGTCTGCTTGACTTTCGTTTAGAAACATTTGGCTATTGTAGCAAATGTGACACATTAAAATGTACAAGACTGTGTCAGAGCAGACTTGCATCAAATAAATCAATCTCCTGTTCCACTTGAATAATCCAAAACTCATTTAAACTGACACTCCTTTAAATCTAAATCTTGGTTTTATTATTCATATAAAGCACCTACCAAATAACCATTCTGCATTATTTCAAAAATATGTGATTTCTAGGCATTACTATTTTTATACAGATCCACCAAGATATTTTATATTAGATTTTGATCTACTTTAGACACCCGAAGTCTATTTAATCACCACATTTTAAGGAAAACTAGACAAAAAGTGTGCAGAGTAGAGGTAGATTTTACATATTAGTTGTGTGTGTTTGCTTGGAACAGTTAAAATTCTTTCTTCCCTATCTCTGTTTAGATCAGGAACTTACATTCATAGTGAAAGGATCCCATGAAGGAAGCCAGAAGATTTTATTGGACTCTGACCCCAGCCTTAGGATCATTGCATTTCACTGTGTCATAAACGACCAGACAAGACTGGATATCATACTGCCAAAAGAGGTATGTTCCTCTTTTGTATGTTATCGTTAACTTTAAAGAAAATAGCAGAAGAAATTAATTAAACAATGAACTGAACTAATCCTCTTTATGGGAGAAGTTCTGGAGATGACAAACCTTTCATGTTCATCTATATCCCTACCACTTTCCACTTTGTTTCAGCTGATGGATAAAAATGAAACAGTGAACAATGGAGTCCTTTCTCTGCCTCTGAATTTGCTCCCTTTGCAGAAGAAAATAACAGTAGATGAGGTGAGTGCTGTGAACCCTTTTAAATAAATAGTTTTCCAACAGTTATCATGCTTAATTTTGTCCCGCTAGAAAGAAAGCCATTGAATGAACAAAATCACCATATAAGATCATAGAAACATTCATTGAAAATGTTTTGAAGGAATAAAACACTGGTGTATTCAATTTTAAGGAAGCGCATGTTAACAGTCATTACAATAATCTGAAAATCATTACAAATAAGTGGTTTCAAGGAATAAAAATGACTGACATAAGTACATGCATACCAAAATTTCTTCGTAAATATTGGGGTAATTCTACAGTGGCTAGTAATTCGAAAAAATTCCGGAACACAAGCTTAATTTCATATCTCATCTTGTCTATATTGGCATTAAAAGTATGCTTTCGTATGTAACTCTTTCTCTGGAATGAAATAACTCATCAGGTTCTTGCTGGTCCTCCTAGGTGTGACTGCTGCGAGTTAGCACAATGTGCAGGCTCCTTGCTCACTGACTCCCTAAGCAGATAGGCTCTGTAGGTGAGGGAGAATTTGATTCCGGAGCGGGGAATGATACTTGGTTCATTGTACCAAAAAAATGTCCTTAGCCCTTTGAATTATCATTTGAGAACCTCCTCTCTTACAGAATGAGCCTTGCTTGAGCTGGAAGGAAGGTTTAAGAATCTGATGGTATTTAACTTTATTTTATTGATTTCTAGGATCAATCCTTTGACTTGTGTTTGACAGCAAGAAAATGGTAAGATAGCCTCTTCTTGTCCTAGTGTCCAGGATTATTGTAAGCTAGTTATCTAGGCTTTTTCTGCAGTCAGTGGAGAGAGAAAAACAATTCGAGAGGATGCTTTATCTTGTGCTCAGATAGATGTCTAAGGTAAGTCCAAATCAGTTGCAGGTGCATGGAGTTTGATACGAGTTTATGAACCCTGTGAGACTTCTTTTCTGAGTAAATTAGCCTGTTTTATGATCACTATCCTTAGAAGTGAGTAAAATGGCACTACTTACACATTAGTTTTGTTGCCTCTTTATGCTAAGAGTGAGATCTGTGTAATGCCTGAGATAATCTCTAACCTTCTTTGACTTTGCAATGTCAACACAGCAAGGGTAGAGCAGCCTGGGTTCTGTCGCTTCTCCTGTTTCACTGAACAAAATGTGAACTGAGATCTGACCGCTTGCACCTCTGCCAAACCAATGATAGCAATAGAATTGCACTAGCACCACTGGCAGGTAAAAATGAAGACAAGGGTGTTGACTAGTGTAGCTGACAACTTCATTTGGTTCATGGCATTGTTGCTATCAGATGAAATAGGGAAGGGAAGAAAAATGGGTTTTCAGGGTCCAGGAGTAGCCTGTGTAGGTGAAATTCAGAGCATAGGAAAAAGAGCTGCTTGCTCAATATCAGCTCAATAGCAAGCTACGAAAAAATGTAAATCTAACAGAATACATATATATATATATAGAGAGAGAGAGAGAGAGAGAGAGTGAGCGAGCAAGAGAAAGTGTTGTTTGGGACTTTTAAGCATCATTTTTTTCATCTGTCACTAAGACAAAGTTGTTCACTTTTAGAAGATCGATCAAATGACCTTATTCTGTTTTCAAAATTGAACTATGATTCAGCAAATTTGCTGGAGAAACAGAAGTTACCAGCATTAGCCTATGAAACATTTGTGTTTGTGAGATAGTGATGAGAATAATATTCAGAATAGGCTTGACAACCACCAGAGGGTGATGTGACCTGGAAGATTTGGGCAATTTTGAGAATGAGTTTCTCAGTAACAAGCATATTTTTATTTTTGAGGGCACACAAACATGAATTTCCTTTTGTTTGTTTTTTTGTACCTTTTCTCTGCAAAATCTTTGGCCTGTGCTTCACATTTTTTAAGGGATAAAACTCAGCATGATTCCCCACGTGGAAAAAATGGTGAATTTTCTTATATGTCAGTAGGATGAAACGTGGAAATGCTTATCTAGAGAACTCTTCAGTACACAGGTAAAAGGCATCAGGAATCGGTGAAGCTGTGAAGAAGCACCTGAATTTCTTTATACTGGGTATCCAGCCAGATCCGGGCTGTGGATTAAAAATTCTTCCCAGAAGAATACCTCCTTGGGGGCACTCAAAACCTTATGGAATATGGCACTGAGCTGCTTGTTCTAGCAGACCCTGCTCCGAGCAGAGAGGTTGGACTAGACAATCTCCAGATGTCCCTTCCAACCTTGACCCTTCTGTGTGTAATCGTTCCTTCTTACATGTTGACACACTGCTGTGTTACTACGTTTGGGGCTGTAATATAAACAAAACAACTGACTAATGAAGTGAGCATCAGAAACCAATGCAAATAGAACACCGCACAGTAAATACCTCTGCAAAGCCTCAGAAGTTAGCAGAATTTCATCAAAGTTTGACCAAGGGTGTGATACTGTGGAGCTTGTCCTATAGTTCAAGTCTGATCACACAGCTCCTCAGGGATTCCATTTTTTAAAATTGTTAGTGAACTGAGAACATGAATTTTAAAACCTGGTGGCATCACTTGAATTTTCCAGGATGTCGTTATGGAAAAATGAAAAGGATACTGAAAAATTACCCCTGAGATTACCCCTTTTGGTGATCTTTCTCTGGCTTATATGTCTTGTCTTTGTGTCCATATTCACAAGAAATCTAAAAGACCTTGGAAACTTCTCTATCTTTACTGCTACTCCTTGCTGGTAATAGAAATACTACTTTTTCTTCTCTTCCTTGATCAGTGGGCACACTTGGAAATAGCTTGTTTTACAGATTACTTATGGAGTTTACTGACCGACTGTCCTATGTATCCTGAAATAAGCTGTAAAATAGCATGTGCGTTTGTTTGTCCCATGGTCTATTCCAGCTCAGGAGATCTAGATGTGCGCTTGGGTTATAGCCTGTGCAGGGAAGAGCAGGACTTCCTGCGAAAAAGGAAGAAATACGTTGCTGCTGCTCTGAAAAAGATTCTTCAGCTGGAGGAAGATCTGAAAGACCATGAGGCAAGCTGTACAGTCCCTTGCAACAACTCCTCTCCAGTGATTGGGACCTGGTCCACAAACTGAAAACATGAATACAAATAAATAGCCTAATTAATCCTGCTGTTCTGGTGCAGGCCTAGCTCCCTGAGAAACGAGACAGGAGCAAGAGAAGCAGTAGCTGGCCCATGCAGGAGAGCAGGGAAGGGAGGACTTGCCTTCAGAGGCCCAGTATTTCCTCAGCAGGGCCCCAGTTTAGCCAATTTCTGTTTATTCCTGAAATTCCTCATATGAGTCTCAGGAAGAAAGTTTATAGTGGACACACATGGAATAACTGGAATATGCTGCCTGGGAAATAGTGTATCCTACCTCGTTAATGAAAGCAAGGAGTCAGTCATGTCATTTGTAAGGGGATTCTGAGTTGAGGTAGTTAAGTTTGCACACAAACGTCTCAATAAAAGCACTTCAAGTGGTTTCTGCGGTGGAAAGGTGTAGTGTTGGGAAGACTGACTACTAGAATAAAACTGTCGAGTGAATCTTATAGAATAATTGAGACGCACAGATGAAACAGCTGACTAAAAGTGTAGCTTTATCACTGTAGACCCCCTACTCCTGCCTGTGTATTTCAGTCACAAGTTTTGTGATTGCTTATGGCTAGTTGGATTTTGAGGACCACGAAGGTAAGAACATACCAACAGTAAGAATTCTCTTTAATAGGCAACTATAAGGAATAGTACTGTGCGTTGTATTTAAAAGTACATATTAAAAATTCATACTTTGAATTTGAAATTTAGTTTTTTGAAAAGGCTGGAAGGAACGCTTTTACATAGTTGTCTGTGGTCATGTATTAAGACCAAAACTGTTTTTTGAAAAAGTCTACTTATCCTGGATCTCTTATTCTTTTTTTTAATTTCAAAATTGTAAAAATAGCTTTTCTCTCATTTTATTTCTCTGTTTAAATGTATAATTAGAATTTGAACTGATACTGAAAAAGGTTAGAAAAAGTAAAAACTTTCTGAAATTATTCAAGAGAGGTATTTTAATTAGGATATTTAGACTTTTTCCCCTATTGTTTTGTAGAAAGTCCTAGATTTTAGCTTCTTATCAAATTTAGGGTAGGAAGAATTTTGTAAATTTTATTTTGTTGGTAGGGGGAAAATATTTTCTTCATGGCTTTATTCGTTGACTTTATGAGCAGCAGACCATTTGATGAAATTAGAAATCAATACTTAAAAAGTATTAGATATAGATATACCTTTCCACACAGCATATATGCAGCCATGCAACTCAAGATGTTAAGGAAACAAATGGTGTACTAGATTTGGAAAAGATTAAGATAAGAATAGTCTCTTCAATTATACTTCAAACTTGAAAAAAAAGAAAGCCTTATCAATGACTGTGCTTCAGGACATAAAGTAATTACTATCCTGAAGTCAGGAAGGCAAAGGTATTGTGCACTTTGTCTGATTACAGGGTGTTGTGCATTCCTCTGAAATAATAATCATTGTTAGAGACAGAATCATGGATTCCTAATCTACTCTGGCATGATAAATCCTGTATTTTTTTATGATGGCTTCTAATAATACACTTTGAGAAGAATTCCAGGGCAATGAGGTTGATTTCCAATTAAATATTAAGTAAACAGCACCCCCTCCCCTTTCTGTGGATAAAATATAAGCCTTCACTGTCCCATCAATTAGGTGGTGGTAATAGAAGCCTTCTGCAACAATCACATCCTTTTTCCACAAAGTCATTTCATTGCTTATTGTTTCTACCAGGTCCTATAACTTTTCACCTGATTTCTAAAATAAAAAGATTGCTTGTCTCTAACATGTGCATGGCTTTCACTAGCTTTTTGCCTTGCTATGTTGAACAGGTGCCAGTGGTGGCAATTACGACGACTGGAGGAGGGACAAGATCATTGACAGCAATGTATGGCAGCCTATTGGGTCTGCAAAAACTGAATCTATTGGACTGCATTTCCTACGTTGGTGGTTTATCGGGAACCACGTGGTGAGAATGATCTGAACAAGATTCATATTTGTTCTCTTTGCTTGATAGTGTGGATTATTTGTACAGCACCATCAGTTTATATCGCCCTTCCTAAATAGAGGCATTTCCATTTTCCCAATGATCTTTTCTGTGTCCATCTAGAGCTAAGAAACAAAACATGCAAAGAGATTGATCATCACGTCCATCAGCTACTTTTGTCACCATGTTAACACAATTTGTGCCTGACGTTTTCATGTAAATTACCTATAATCTTTTCATATTCTATCAATTATACCTTAGACTGAATGCAATGAATATGTCTTTAGACTGGAAATTGAAGAAAGATGGGAAGAAGAATTTATGTCTGCCATTTTCTGGTTATTCTCACTTTCATTTTGGATGTAGTAGAGTGCATCTTCTTCTGGTAAAAGACGTATTTGGGACTAGTGGAATTAACTCTGTTGCAAACAGTCCGAAGAATGATGCTGTGTTACCTGTCTCAGACAGACTATGGCTATTGTTGCTTATCTTCAGCTGCTCTTTTCTCTTGGTGGGCATACATCAGATGCTGTTAAATATTTAAAAGACATTTCAAATATAATCCTATAGATTCTAGCTAGTTCCATTCCTCCACAGTATAGGAGATGTGTTGCCAGATCTTTAGTGCAGTATACTAAGCTTTTACAGCCAAACCAATAAGAAGGTACATCACCAAAACTACTAATCTATGTCCGATTGAAAGCAAAGACAGTTTTTGCACTGAATTATGTGCCAGTCCAAACCTTAATCTCAGGTTTGTCTAAGTATTTGCTAAAGTCTCTGAATGTATGTGGAGATTTGAACGTACCTGTCTCTGTTATGATTTCAAGGAGACAAACAAGAATGGTCAAACCAGGACATGCCAAAGACCCAAGCACCCTCTAGTTGTCTCTCTCTACCAGTAGCCAGTAATGGATGCCTGGGAAAAAATACAAGACTAGAGCAAACTGTTCCCTAGAATACACCCCAGCTTCCAAGAAATGGGCTTGGTTATGACTTGTGGTGTCTTTGTGTGGATTTTTTTCTCATATGATTTTTTTTTGTTTGAGCCCACGTAAACTTTTATTATCAAAACCAAAAAAAACCCGAGAGGCTTTGTTTGCTCTAGAAATGAGAGGACTTCTGGTGTGTTTAATTTTTGTTCATAATCCCCACGTGAACTGAAAAGAGCAAATAGGTTGCACAAAGTTCTGTGAGGCCAGACCACAACATTAGCCCTCTTTCATTATTGTCTTCTGATGTTTCTTCAGGACGATGGCAAACTTATATGAAGATGCTAACTGGTCACAAAAATATCTTGAGGAGGCAATCAAGGAAGCTCGCAAACAAGTAACCAAATCGAAGATTTGCTGTTTTTCTTTGGATTGTCTGAAGTACTATTATAATGACCTGATGGAGAGGACTAAAGAAGGGCATAACACATCTTTCATAGACTTGTGGGGGCTTGTCATTGAATCCATGCTACATGATAAGGTACTAAATATTACTCCTTTTCCCCAGAAAGTGATGAACTATAAAGGAGAAGAAAAACCCTGGGATAACACTCAGGACTACTGATGCAAATAACTAGTTTAGTGGTCAAGTAAATGTTGTATATTCTGATCCATTATTAAAACACTACTCTTGCTTTAAAATGGTGTTGGCCTTGAACTGAAGGAGCCATGGCACTTTGGCTTCTTAAAAAAGAAAAAAAAATTCCTGAGAAAAAAGTTCTGTCGAAATGTAAACAAATCACTTTAGACATTAGATATTCTGAAACATATTCTGACTAGAAGAGGTGCTTAAAAATCTTAAATAATTTACTTCCCTAGTATAATTGAAGATATGCATTTATACAGTGCCTTAGTTATAGGCTTTGCCTATGAAGGTGGGTCAAGTAGCAGGAAAGACCATTCTCTGAATATGTTACCAAGGATTAAGAAAGATTGTTAGAAACAGTGGTACTTTTAATATAACTTAAATAGTTTCCTTCTGGCTTATGTTTATACAAGGAAGTTTTAAATTGCCATGTGTAATACAATATTTTCTTGCATCTGCATATACTTGGAGCGCATATTAAAATATGAGGAACTCTGTTCCTTGAGCTCCAGCCAAGTAAAGTACCTTACCTTTCATCCAGCCACACATTTCTTTCTGGATAATGTTTTCTACTCAATGAATGCAGATTCATCCTCTGCATGTCAGCCTCTCTGCATGTCTCGAAACCTGAGAACCCTTATAGGGTAGCTGATGCTCATGGGACACGTGGCAAGTCTGGAAAATCCCATGACAGATATTTTTGACTAAAGTTCATAATTCACATTATATAATTTCAAGTACAAGTTGTTTTTCACTTCACTCCATTAACTGCTTTTCTAAAAACCAGAAAGATGAACATAGACTCTCGGATCAACGGCAAGCAGTGGATAAAGGTCAGAACCCATTGCCCATCTATGTAGCCATCAACCTCAAGTCCAACTATAGTGCCCAGGCATTTAGAGGTAATGGTTATGACTGAGATTTCTTCATAGCTTTATAATTTAAGAAGCCTGAACTAAGACTTAATGTATGTAATCAGCTTAAATGATACTTTCATTTTAATCAGAGAAAAGCCTTTTCACATTTCAAAGAATTCTGAATAACACTTTAAAAAAAAAAAAAAAGGAAAAAAAAAGAAAAGCAAACACCTTTAGTCTTTAGAACTTGAGTTCTCAATATTGTTATAAGCAAAAGTGTATTTGTAGTGCAAGAGATGCCAAGCTTAAAATTTAGCCTGGTCACAAAAAGTATTAGAAACCTTTTAACAAAACCAGTTCTCATGATGATTCCACGTGGTCCTATTTTGAATAATTACTTTACTTTTTGAGTCTAGTGGCAGGAAAATGACCATCTGTTAGTTTTCGCAGTGTTTGTTTAATATGAGTAGTCAAGAGTAAATGATACCAGGTAAATAGTAAGTGCTTTGTCACTGTTACCCTACAGGGCACTAGTCATACCTGAACAAGATATGCTTTTGGGTAAGACTAACTGCAGGGAACACATATGGTTTCATTCAGACCAAAGCTTTTCTGCTAGAGATTGCTCTATCAGTAGACCTCACAGTCTGGGACCACCCTCCATTAATGTAAAAGAAAAATCTGTTCTTTCAACTCATTAATACTGCAAACAATATTAATACAGGTATAGGTGGTTGGCAGCATATTATGAGCTAGACAGTGTATTTCTTATGATTCTTCCCTGTTCTCTAGTGCTGTTCTTTGTAGCAATAGTTAAAACATAATCGCCTTTTGATGATCTTGCTGCTATCACTGCAGAGTGGCTGGAGTTCACTCCTTATGAAGTTGGTCTCTTGAAATATGGAGCATCTATTCGTGCAGAACATTTTGGAAGTGAATTCTTTATGGGAAGGCTGGTGAAGAGGCTCCCAGAGACTCGGATCTGCTACATGCAAGGTGACTATTATCCAGAGGGAATGTTAGCCTACCCAGGAAGCAGCTGGCGCTAGTGAGCGCATGATGTGTGTTGGAAAGCATTGGGAAGGCATGGGAAAACAAGCTGAGCAGGTGTGAGTCTGCATTAGTGAGGACACATGCAGGAACTATGCTCACAGCGATATCTATCCAGATTGAAAGGAAGTGTCCAAGGGGAAAGACTGAAGGTATGTATTAATTAAAATTCTTTCAAGTTTACTCCATCAATCAATTTGTATGCACTCTTTCATGTTATAGGCATGTGGAGTAGTATATTTTCCATAGATGCGATGTATGTGTGGAATTTGGCTGTTGATTCAGAGGACTTCTGGAGTAAATGGACCAGAGACAGAGTAAAAGATATTGGTAAGAAGACTTTTTTTTTTTTTTAAACCATCAGCATCTATTGCTTTCATTTCTTCTCTTGGAACTACGTACAGGTCTAATGCCTAAAGAGATGCTTTCTAGGTCAGAGAGAGATGAGAAAAGCAAAGCAGAGACATCAGTTAAGAAACGTCTCTGCCTGATTTGGAAGCAACTTTGCTTCTTCCGCAAAACTTTGTGCTTTTCTAAAGGGTATGTAGAGAAAAATAGTCTCCAGCAATTTTCAGTGGAGAGGTGAAGAGAATATTGCACTAGGAACATGTCTTAAGTGCCTAGGTTAGGAGGAAGTCTTCCTTGGCCCCTAGTACAGTCCATGGAGAAAATAGCTCTTGCGGAAGTCTGTTCCTGAAAGAAGGCTGTCTCATGCGGGCAAAACTGTCTGTGGAGAAAGCTCGCTGTTGCCGTTAATTGTACAGGAAGCCTGGAGTGCCTGGCCTGCTAGCTTGGCTACGTGTTTACAGCTCGGTGATATTCACATGTCTTCTGAAGGTGTCCTGATCAAGGGCCAATGTAGTCCTCACAGATATTTTGGGACTCAGCTCTCCCCTGTGCCACACCTCACAATAGAAGTGGGTACCTTTTTGGCAAACCTAGAATATGAGATAGTGTTTTATTACCTGAAAGCTTGCCACTTGTGAGTAGTGTGTCATTTAATTGTGTAATATGCATCTCTTCTGTATTTTATAGGCCTTAAAGGCTTGTAACTATGTTTGATTTACGTTTGGGGCAAGAGTGGGTGAGAGTTTAGTTTATTAGCTACTGCATTGTTTAAAATATTCATTCAGAAAACTGTTCTAAACTTGAAAGTTTTTTTTCCTTCTTGCAGAGGAAGAACCCTTTCTATCTATGAATCCTTATGAGGTAGGCACATGTCTGCTCACTCCTTCATGTGCTCTGTCTTCCGCTCTGCGAGATGTCTTAACAGGACGTCCAACCATTGCACAGTATCCCAATTTTCTCAGGGGCTTCCAGATGCACAGCAAGTACCTGGAGAGTGAAGGATTTTCTACGTGGAAAGGCACAGTAATACAACAAGTTTTTCCAAAACATTTTGAGGAGGTTTGGGAATTCATTTAGGATTTCCAGGAAGGAGGAAGAGACAAAAATGATATCCGAAACTCCACTTCTCCCTTCCCTAGGCGGAAGCAGCAGAAGCCATATTTGGACTCCTGTTCAATTTTTGGGGGGCATAAGGGGGTGAAATTGAATTTGGCCATCTGTAGCCTGCATTTCAGTGGCCAAGGTGACCTCAGCCTGGGGAGACATAAGGGATCTCTCCTTTAGAGCCAAAGCTGCGTGAGGTGTCCAGGAAGGAAGGAACAAAAGAGCTGTAGTGGGTCAGTTATGGCTATAAGTCAGTGCTGCTAGTGAGTCAACAGATGGCAGGGAAAATGTAGGGGCAGAATTCTCTATTCTTCCCTCTTTAACTTTCTGCAGAGAGACAGTCAATTTCCTCTTCTATTTGTTATGACAAGAAATATTTGTGTTTCAGACACAGTGCTAGACTCTTTCTCAAATAAACTGATGGAAACAGCAGATGATGCGCTCTCCTTGGTTGATACTGGTTTTTTCATCAATACCAGCTATCCACCACTCTTGACATCTAAGAGGAAAGTGGATGTCATCCTGCATTTGAATTACAGTGGAGGGTCACAGACATTGGTAAGAAAAGCCACGGTATCTTTGAGATCTTTTTTTTCCATGGTTTTTTGGTCTCCAGAATTTGTCAGTTTAAACAACTTTCCAGTACTGAAAGGGGAAGAATCAAATGTCTGCTGGTTTCCACCATGAATTTGACAATGGTCATGCCTCTCTGCGTTACAAATTCTGCCTTACATTCCTTAATGACAAGTGTCTTTCCTTCTAGTCCTCTACCTAAACTAGGAGTCTGACACTAGATGTTCTAAGACAAATTGTCAAAAGGGTGAATGATAAAGAAGAGTTTTACAAAGTCATTCAGTGATTACAGAAATATTAGATAGGGCATTGGTCTGTTTTAAGATAAAAATGAAAGCGTTGCCAATATTACTGCAACACCTTCTCCCCTGACAGCCTGCTTAATGGTTTTTTCTATTCTGTACTTATGAAAAACAGCATAGTCTATTGAGGTTATTAGATGATGATGAAATGCTTTTTATTTCAAAGTAACTAAGAAGGACATTAGAAGAGAGTGAGAGATATAGGCATTTTAAACTCATCAAGGTCTTCACTGTGGTGGGCCTAAGAGTTTTCAGATAGCTGACTAAGGTGTTATCTGGACCTCTGATACTGATTTTGGTTATCCTTGAACTGAGGAAGCTACAAAGATGATGGAAAGTCCTGGCAATGCTTTAATAGGTTAAATGGGAAAATCTGTATATCTCTGGACCTGTTTATCTCATGCTAATCTTAGAGAAATGGACTGGCTCATATAGGGCTTGATCAGTAATGTATTATGATTAATGCTATGTATCTAAAGAGAATAATATAAAAATGAACATAGGTATAGAGTAAATAGAGCTGTTAATGAATTTGGTTTTTTTCTATAGATAATAGGTTATGTTGTAAATAGGGAGTCATTATCAAACAATCACAAACCATGCAGAGGAAAGAAAGACTGGGAAAGGGTAAATAATGAAGAAGTCAAGACAACCCAGAGTAATCTGGACTGATTGGTTCCTTCTCCATACTTTCAGTATATATACTGTCCTTTCCCTTCTAAAATAACATACAGAAAACCTGTTAATTGAAATTATAAAGTCAGTCCTGTGGCTTTTGGTTCCTTTTGCAAGCTCCAAGTGCTTTCTTCTTTTGCCTAAAGCGATGCAGAAATTAAGAAAACTGCAGTGTCTGATGGTGTTATGACCATTACCGTATGAAACTTCAGATGTTCCCAGAGGAATATCCGAACCATGTTAGTATTGACTGCTGGTGTTTAGAAAATTCAAGTCTCTGGGTCGTCTTTGAATTTTGGTTCTTTTTTTATTTATTCATCCAGCCTCTGGATCAGATTGCAAAGTACATCTCAGGGCAAGGAATCCCATTTCCCAAGATTGAGATAAGCGAGGAAGACAGGGAAAACTTAAAGGAATGCTATGTGTTTGAAGACGCTGAAAGTTCGCAAGCTCCAACTGTGCTCTTTTTCCCCTTAGTAAATGACACCTTTAAGAGATACAAAGCTCCTGGTGAGTCATCTGTGGCTAGCAACTTTAATAAAAAGTCACTGGCTTAGTGTGTCCTCCGTTTCACATCTAATGTGTCACTGTCAGCTCTGCCCTTCTTTGTCATGTCAGCATTATCAGTCTCATCGTTTACAAAAATAACTGCTCTCACTGTGTCAGTATGTCTGAACTATGAAAACTCCAGAAGCTCTCAATTTCTCTCTTGCTTAGTATCTTGTGTGCCTTTTGCTCCTCCTTTTCTAGCTTGGGTAACAAAAGATTATGTTGTCCAAGGAGCAGTCAGCAATTACTGCTGCTGCTGGGCAGTGTTCCCATTTACAGTCATTTGAGTATCCATCAGTTGAATAATATGGTGCTCCTAGACTACTTTTACGTCCCTCTGACAAACCATCTCATTCTCCCAAATATCCCTTTTCTACCTGTAATTACTTAAATGACTGATAAGAACCACATGCTGCAATAAAATCTTAGAGATGAACCTCCTTGTGGTTTTTCCCTCAGGTGTGGAAAGAAGTCCAGAGGAGATGGCTGAAGGCAACGTTGATGTCTCCAGTATCCTCTCCCCATTTACGACAAGGGAGGTGTGCTTCAGTGAAGAGAATTTTGACAAACTAGTGAAATTGACCGATTACAATGTCCTCAACAACGAAAACTTGATTATTCGGGCTTTGCGCATGGCAGTGGCACGGAGGAAGCAGCAAAAGTACTAGCCGTGGTGCACTTGCTTTACCCCTCCACGTGATGTTTCTTGGATTGTCTCTTATCTAGTGAGATAAGTGTTTGATGCTTGCCAGTGTTATTTACAGTAGAAATTGCATCCCATGAAGACTTGCTGGACTCCATGCCACTTAAGCAGCTGTTCAGAATGAACAGATTGGAATTTACTGTTTTTTTAATCCTAAATTCAAAGCAGAAAATTAAAGTTTAGTTTTGTTACCTGGCTACTTTACCAACTGATATATATTCCTTATAAGTTAATATAGCGTTGTCTGAGATATTAATAAAATATGTATCACATTAAAAATGTGAATCAAAACAGTATTTATATACTTTTTCTGTCTGTCAGAATGGCATTCCCTTAAACTGGCATCGCTCAGGTAAATAGCTAATTCATTGTGTTGGTCTTGCTTGCCTTAAGTATTGATGCACTGAAGGCTATTATCTGATTTGATTGTCTGTCTACTGTGAATTTTTTTATTCAGCTGGCCTTCTTTACTAAGCTTTGAAGATAAATTTCTTTCTTAAGTTACCACCATTGATGTAAAAACATGTAAAGTTTTCGCCATCCATAAAAATACCCTTGAATTTAGTGATCTTTGTTTCATGTCATCAAAGGAGTCCTTTCCGCTGTTCACAGAACGATCTATATTCAGCTTAAACAGTAGTCATGCTGCCGAAGTTCCCTTCCTTTCATTTTCTCCTGGAGTTGCTGCTGACTGTCCCGTTTCACCCATCTTTACCTGTCTTAATCACTTCTGGAACAGATGGCCCTGCAATTTCTCCCTGTTTTCCAGAAGATGGGAAGTGGCTACTAGCTCTTTGCATTGGATCTGACAGCTCAAGAAGACCTTTTGAGCTCCCTTTTAGCTCTATTCTTTACAATTATTCAACACTATCCTACAAATGGTCTTTTGCTGCTCAGGTTGTCCTGAGAGGTTCCTCATTGTGAAAAATCTTAGAGATGCTCTGGGAGAAGACAGTTGTCCAAGGCTCTCTTCCCATGGTGCTACAAGAACTACATCAGAAGTTCACTTTTTCACAGTAGCAACCCTGCACTGTGGAGCTATGCTGCATGGAGAGACTGTTCATAGCAGCTCAGAAAATGCTGGGGATTATCTCACTATTGATAATAAAAGGCTCATGCTGTTGCTAAGCATTTCAGAGTCACCAGGGTGGAATTGGTGTTGCGGTCAGGAGGATCTTGATCATAATTGATTTGTGAGCAATTTATTTATATGGAACAAAGTTCTAAGAAATAGGTGGGAGAAAAAGACTTCTGTCCTTCGGAAAAAACAGCTAATTGTGCACCCAGAGCAATTTAGGTAGTGGGAGAAAAGGCATGAACCATGTTTTTCACCTAGGAGCATATTCATTGTGTTCATGCTACTGAAACGCTTGAAAGGGCATGGTGGTGTTAACCGTGTTTCAAGGTACAGTATTGCAGGCTTAAATCTAAACTCTTAGCCCTGCTTGTCGTGAGGCAGTTGTAATTGTGTTTCAGATCTAGAACACTAGAATTACCTTACTGGATCGCTCTCACAGGGATATTTTTGTTTTTACTCTTATGGTTTCTGGGCTTTTCTGCTGGAAATGAAACACAGCAGGATGGCAGCTATTTGTCTCAGTCCTCTTACACGAGAAAAGTAGCAGCAGGACAGAAAACAGCCAGAGAACTGCATGACACAGTCTGAGCCTGATTAACCCTGTTTTTCATCAGACCTAATTATCCTGTCTTCTAACCATGACTAATTGCTATACGACGTAGCTATGCTCTTTCCCAAGTCAGCCGTGGGGTATGTTTGCCCTGTGTCCTGCTGGCCAACACAAAACCTACCTGTCTCTCTCCCCTACCCTTAGATCACTCTGCAGTCCTATCCTTTAGCCTGCCTGGTATTTCAATATCCATTATTTGAAAGAAGGCCCTGAAACTTTACACAGCCATCTTCTATCAACCTTAAGAGATGAATCACATCCTCCTGCTCTTCAGATCTCCGTTTATGCAACCACGGACTGCATTAGCTCTTCCTGTCAGAAGCTCACATTGAAAGCTCAACCACTTTTCTGCTGAGACTGTTTTTCAAGTGATAATTCCCAGTGTATGGATTTGGCCTGTATGCCGTGTATTTAGACATAAATATGTTTCCATTATTTCTGTGTTAAAAGATCTGAATGAACCTATCTTACTCTGTGATCCTGTCCTATCTGCCTCATTATTATTCTTGTATTAGCTACAAGTTCATCTGGAGCTATTTTTTTATTTTCAAATCATTAAAAAAAACACACAACAGATTTACAGCTAAGCTTTTTGCAGTCCCGTTAGGAATATTTCCCTTTGAGGGTACCTTCCTTTGACTGCTGCTTTTGGAGATCTACTGCTTATCCATCCTTAATCTATTTAATGTTTATCTGGATGATATTTATTGCGTCCAGCTCTTAAATTAGAGTTTCTTCCTGTGCCAAACATCTTATGAATTCAAATTATGTCATGTTTGTGAAGTTACCTTTGTTAATTCTCTTATTTTGTTGCAAAGTGAAACTAGGCTATTTTATGAGCACAATTTTCTACTACATATGCAAAAAATTTTTAAAAAATTACAAAAATTAAAAAAAATTACAAAAATTAAGTATTTGTAATAGTGAGGATGATGGCCTTTTTCTAGTGCTCTCTTATTTTGTTTATCTCTTGTGAATAGACTAGTACTCAGTTTGTGAGATGAGTGATACATGGACCACCTCACATGATACTAGAAGTGATCAGCACAGTGAGGCATTATAAATACCAGTGCAACATATGGAATAATGAACAGTAATTTCAGAAAATCCCTCCCCCCCCCCCCAAAAAAAAACCAAATCCATTTTTTTGAAGAGCATTCACTTAGCATCTTATTTTAGATGCACATAGTAAAAACTTTTGTGGAAAAAGAATGACATTTTAAAACTTTTGCCTTTACAGTGGAAACTGTCTTACAGTCTTTAGTGTGGAACAGGTGGCTTGGAAATTGTTTCATGCAATATTTTTCCTTGAAAAAGCTCCCTGGCTGAAACAAGAAATATTTGTAAAAATATTTAAAGACCACTTTCATTTGAAGTTGATCTCACGTCCCAGATGTGCTTTCTTCTTCACAAGGAGAAAAAACATTGCAAATACAGTACCACTTCTAGGTCCCTTGATAGTCAGAGAACTCATGCGGGATGTTGGGGTGCAGACCCCAGTCTTGCTCTGAATCAGACAGCAAAGCAGCTGTAACAGGGCTCCCTGGGATTCCATGGCCACCAAGTGCACAGAGAATGTATATTTATTTCTCTTCTATTTCTGTAAAAATAACTGCTGAAGAGCTTGTCTTATTTCCATTCCTGTACAAAAATAAATGTGAAAATCTTCATTGATATTTTCTGCTAGACAAAAACCTTGTTTCCTGGCCAAGACAGCTTACTGCCTGAGAGCAACATGGAAGTCAGGATGGGAGAAGAATTATGTTTCAGAGTCTGAAAGCCAAGAGCCATCTACTCCCTTATAGGCTATGAAGAGATACAAAAATTCCTTTGTAAGCACACTGGTTTGTTCGAATGTCCTCGGCCAAAGATTGCCTGGTTGCCCGCTGCCGAGCAGTGAGACGCACTCTGCATGGTGCCAGTCTGTGCCACGCAAGGGGCTGTAGTTCACCAGCCCTCCAGTGTGCAAAAGTGTTCCTGAAGAAGGAACAGAGATGCTTAGAAATGCCCATACCTGGGGAGAGAAGATCTCTTCTGTTTCTCAGTGTGCCTCTCTACCTACAGCTGTGAAGAAGACCCTCCTGCACTGTGCCAGCCCGGGCGTGCGGGCGCCAGCATGGGTGTGCGGGGAGCGCTCCCCTTCCAGCAAGCGAGGAGGAAGAGGAGGAGGGTGTTGTGCAAGCGCTGGCCACGGGGCGAGGCGGGCCCTGAGTCAGGTGCTAGCACACCTGCCCGGCCTCTCCCAGCAGCTTATAGAGCAAGGAGCTGCCTCGTGGATGCTCCTGTCCCCATCCTCCTGCCACGTTTTGCACCTGGCTTGAATGCGGCGAAGACCACAATGGGGGTGTTTTACAGTAAGAGCCAGGTAAGGAAAGGAAAGGAAAGTGGCTGTAAGGTTAGGTGTGTAGACAGCCAGTCTGCAGCCTTTGTGGTGGAAGGAATGATGTGGGAAGCCTGGTTATTCCTTTATCTTCAGCTCGGAGAAGATTTCTTCTTCAGCAATGGGGCTGATAGCAAGGGGTGGCTTTTGCTTGGATTTTGTGCCTGCTTTGTATTTTCAGACTGATGAACACGAGAACTTTAATGTTGCAGTAGTTCAAATATATTTCGAAAATTCCCCGTCAAAAAAAAAAAAGTATTTTGTTAAACATTGCTGTTGTCTTTCACTTCCATCCAATTAGATTCAGCAAAGCAACTTGCTGACAGAAAATAAAAAGGTATCACTCATGTCAGTGGGGAAATTCTAATAGGGAAACTAATAGGAAAAGCCAGAAAATGAGTGTCATGTGAGTTGTTAAAGATGAGCTCTGTTAGAAACTGAGGTGATTTGGGGGCAGGAGGGAATGAATGGTGACACCAAACGTGCTCATCGTAATATATAGAACTATGGATTTGTTGCAGTGGTATTCCCTGCTCTATAGGCAGTATACCAGAGCTTCCTCTTGTGAATGTTTGTTCTATTGTTATACAGATTTACTCTTTTTATTGCTTAGAATGAAAATTGCCTAGGGAAAATACTGCTCCACCCTCAGCCCCCAGACTTTTGATTAAGTACCGTGTTTGTCTGATCCTTGTTTAGGGTGAGGTTGGATGACAAAATCAAACCAGTTTCTTGGCAGGATTGTTAAATGTCTTTTGATAACCTCCTAGATTTAGGTGGCTTCCCAAGATTTCCAGTGGTACTTCCACGTGACCTCTGCCTAAGGGAATATTGGATGAGCTGAATTATTCTGTGAGAAATAATTACAGATTTGTTGCTTTCATTCCCTGCTTTAGGGAAGTTTTGGATAGGCCATAGAAAGACATTTTTCAGGTCCTCATTATCTATGAGCCAGTTCTGCTCTACCTCAGACATGACAGTGGAGTTATATGGCTATAGAGCAGCTGATGAGCTGTATCATTACA